TTCACCCACGTCACTGAAATGCGAAGTGGAGACTAACAAAAAAGATATGACAGAGATAAAAAACCCTCAAAATACAGTGACTTCTACAGGATCCCACTTGAACACTACAGACAGAATTCCAAAGTATAAAACTACTTAAGTCTATACCACACCAAGACCTAATACTTGGGCCCTCTGAGCTTTTCTACACCCCAGTGAGCATTGTCCTTACTAAAACCCAAAATGACCAACCCTTTATCCCAACATATAGAAATTGCTCCCTAAATCGCCCTGCCTAAGATTTATGTCTTTGCATTGTTCAAGCCAAAAACCATCAAACAACAACTTAAGAAAATCCACCCTATCCTCAACTATGGTCACCAAAAACCAGGCCTCCACAACGCCTGCTCCAAGGGACATTCTGCTCTTACGAGCCTACCGTCTGCCAGCGATAGCGCCGAAAGTGCAAGCAGTGGGGGTATGACGCTTGTCGGGGAGGGGAGAAGACTGACGTTGCACGACGCGGCGCATAGATTGAATGCCGGGACGTCTAATGCTGTGAAATCATTTTCCCACTTATTTAAATGGGTGATGTATCCCGTATTTTAAGCTACAAGGGCTTCACTGTTTACCTGTGTAGTCCTGCGTATCCACCACTGTTCTCAATCCTACGTAAAACACTTGAAAGAATCTTTCTCCGCTAATCACCCATCGTCGATCCTACAATGAACCAATCCCAATTCTGCTTCCGAAAGTGTCGCTCCGCGGCCCTCTAAAATCTCAACCCATCCTTCCCTATACCAATCTCCCTCCACGACCAAAAAGATTCCAATCATCCTAACCGACCTTACCCCTTTAAGGTTACGATTTAAGGCGTCCCCTTCCTATCCTACTCATGAAAATCCGTCCTTACATCCCTAACCATGTTTATTTTACTTCAAAGCTATCTTAACCAACGTTCCTTCCACATGTGTCACCGATAAAAAACGTCGCCGACCTACCCAATCCAAAGTGGCGTCCCTCTGGGCGCTATCTATCCCCGCGCATTTTCTCCGTTTACTTAAAACGATGTTCCTTCCACTCAAACCGTGCAGCACGTTTATGACTTTGCCTACCTCGCATCCTTCCGCTCCCTCACACAGTTGCGGAAATTACTCGACGACTTTAACCCCTGGGTCTCACAAAACTCCACCAGCCACTCATTTAAATCCCAAGCAATCCTTTTTCTCATATACAGCATTCCCATCCAACCCCCTCCCCTTACCATAGCAAACACTATTTCCTGGAAACAGTAAGTCAAACGTTCTCGGCCTCTCCATCGCAGACTCCTTTGGTTACATCGTACACACCAAAGTAAACAAAATAACTAATGCCTTGTAACTCTATCCTCACGAACCCATCCCTACCAATTAAAAAGAAACTTTAAACATATACCAATATAGGTACTATTGCATGCTAGACCCATCCCACCTGTTTCGCCACTTCCTAATGAAACATCGCGAAACTCTCCCGAACACAACTTTCCCTAATCCTTCCTCGCGACCTACACCTAATCTTCCGATCATTTAACGACCTAAGATCCCAAAATAACGTCCAACACATCCTAACACACTTCCATGACTGTACAGTAGCTCACATCCAAAAGTAGTATACCAATAGTCATCTTTTCCACGAACTAATCCTACCTCACCACTAGGGGGCGGATTTTAATGAAATCTCAGTAGCCTATTCGATTTCTTTGCTCATATATTGTAATGCCAGCCGTTGAGAGTACTATGTAACCAAAAGGTTCCTGTGACGTTTATCGGCGCCATTGTCAGTTGGTCCGATTTCGGGATAAATGAAGACAGATTTCTTTTATAGAACAGTCCAAACTCAAAGTTTGTACGCTGAGTTCACTTGAACAAAAAGAAGAAGCCTCGATTACATCAGTAACTTATTCAACAGCTTGAGTAGTTCATCTGAAGTGGATTTAATCTATTTTTTACATCATTTTTCTTCGTTTTTAGGGCATTTTTAAAGCATTTTATTGATCATTTTGGTATTGTTTTAGGTCATCAAAATCCGCCCCCTACTCATTACTATATCCCATGAAACCCACTCTGACACATCCACAAAAATCGGCAAGGACACACATCGACATATCCTTAATAACTTCTTCCTCCCATAACCTAAATGAGAGTAAAACAGAATTATAAAACAAAACCGACCTACAAACGCAACGAACAAAAACAATGACATTTTAATAACATACGCCGTCAACAAAAGCTGTTCCACCACATTCCTACACTATCCACCTTTTCCATCCTCACCCAAATCCCCAACCCTTCCCTACCCATGTCCAAGTATCCCTAAACCCATCTTCTTTAACGAAACATCTTCCCATTAGCTAGACTCGATTGTAAAGAGATTGTAAATAGAAACGATTGTAAAGAGTCTCCTCATGAAAATTGGCATGCAAGAAACAACAACACTTAAAAGTGACATGAGGAGGAAACTGCAAAAGAATATTCAACACAGTATGTAGGAATGGCACAAAAAAATTTGAAATATTTATAAAATCAACCAAAGAAACTTGAGTGACTACATCAGGAACATCACAGGTTCCTGGACAGTAATCAGAAAATATTAGTGAAACCTACAAAAATCAAATGAAATGACAAGAAAAAAGACATCGATAAAAAAGCTAACAAAATTATCATTGGGATTGAAACAGTTTATGCAGTGAAGGCATAAATATGTATACTATGATAAAGGAGGCAATAAAAAACGTATGAGTCAAACACAAAACACCACAAGCAATGGAAAATTGAACAGATCATGCAGAATCTCTGTATTCAACCAATAAAAGAATAGGAAAACAAATAAGAAAATCAAGGACAATATAATTAACAGACCTGAAAATAGAGAAAGAAGTAGAATATCAGCAAGTAAGCCCCCCATGCCCAAAATATTGAATGAAAATTATGTAAGCCTGTTGTAATATCAAGGAACAAGTGAAGAAATGGAACAAACAGGAAAGGAGACAAAAGTGAAGAAACTGAAACCTATAACGAAATGGAGAAATGAGTCAGATAGTTAAATAACAGAAAGTTATCCACAATTGTGCATGGCTCTGAAAGATGGACATTGGAAGATAAGATCAAGCAAAAACATGGACAGTACATGAGCGATTTCTAGAACATCTCATGTGAAACTGAAGAGACCAATTGAGAAATAAAGATATTAGAAAGAATCACAGGTATTTGAAGAACCAAAGGTATAGTAAAAGAAATAGGATATTCTCAAAGGAAATGGAAGGATCATTTGATAAGAATGAACAATAGACTGCCAAAACTGATCTGAAAGTACAAACTACAAACCAAGAGGAAACAGAAATATAGGCAGGCCACAAAAGAAATGGCATAGCAAGAACATTTGGAAGACTAATTGCCACCAAAACTACTGGGGTAAACTAATTGAAACTGGTTTCAAAACCTAATTTCTGGGTAGTTCATGTCAATACTCTCTCTCTCAAACAAATTTGAAGTGCTCTTACATGACCAGCATCATAATCACAAGTCACTAAGTAACTATGATCCATTAGATTTCATATGAATTTTTCATTTTTCAGGCCACAATTCAGATCATGAGCCAATACTTTCAGAAGGTTGAGACATTTATGATGTAGATCTCTAATATTTACGATTTGAAATATTTATCTCCCTCAGAATTAATTACCTTTTTTATTTACTGACAGTTCTGATCAGAATTTCTCTGTTTATCAATGCCTTGATGTTTGGAGCTGTATTGCTAAAAGATAACAAAACTACCTTAATATTTTTTATTTATCATTTCTGTAGAAAAATAGTATGGTTATACATTTCCATTTTGGTTACATTTTATCAATTTCTACCAAAAGTTAATCCTCAGTGATGGAATATTACACCATTAGACTTGAAAAGATGACAAAAAATAAAACAATATAAAAGGCATCTCCACTATTTCTTATGGTTCAAAGTAACGTTTCAAGGATACTATGGAATCCACATAGAACTAGGAAAACAGCGAATCTAAATTCAACCCAAAAATCAATCTGATAAATACACTGTAAACATTTTTTTTTTTTTCTTATTTTTCTCTGGTACTTATTCACAAGTGCCCAAAACAATTCATACAGACAGTTCATACTAGTCAATATTACTTTCAAAGGGACATAAAAACTAATAGAAAAACCTAGAAAATAGCTAAGTGACATACTGAAATATTTCCCTACAAAACCTTTTTTTCATAAAGTCAAAGAGTAAAATCTACCAAATCCAAAGAATGGTTGTTCTATATAAGTGACGAGATATTTATTTTAATCAATGAATAAGTTCAATTAAACAATTAAGGTTTCAGTAATAATTTCTATCAATCACATGCTTGTATATAAAATTAACTTTATTGAAAGAAACTTCAAACATTCAGGAAATAAAAGTTAAATATAAATATACACACTTGTACACAATCAAAGAAACCCAGAAAAAATTAACTTTTCATTCAAAATTGAGCTGTAAATTCCGAAAATTATTTTAAATGAGAAGGAATCTCATAACATTTAGGAAGATAGTAAATTATTCTCATTCCCAAGAGAAAAAACAAAAATTTATAAAAATAACTACTTCAACATAAATAATGCACTTGATAAAATTAAAAACAAGTTCTATGAAACAAAGTACCGTGAATATTAGCAGTTGTTCTTGTGTTGACCTTGAATTTTCAATTCTCTATTGCTAGCATCCTTCAGTCATTTATCTGAAAGAAACAAAAATTAAAATCCTTCTTTCCACTGACAGTTATAAAATGATATTTAAAATAATCAAATTAACTAACTGTTTTGACGAGTTAAGGATGGTTTTACATAGGAGAAATAAAATATTAAATAAAAATTAATGAAAGTTATGGTACATATACCAATGAAATTATAAAATAGCTATTTATGGAAGAAACTGTTAGTTTTCACTGAATCATTGGAGTAATATTTTTCGTTTACTTTGCAGAACCCTCCTATGCAGTCCGAGAAAGAATAGTGCTTTCATGTCTTGTCCATCTTCTCATTCCAAGGACTTTGTTTGATTTGCATTATTTATTACCACCTTCAGAGAAAGAACTTTTGGATATCACTCACAGAGGTCAGTAAAATTATCAATTCCCTAGTCCTTAATCTTGAAAACTTGGAATTTGCTGAGAGGATTATATTGTTTCAGTTCCTGCTTTATTCAAATTAAAAAAGAAACGGATTTATGAATCACCCTACTTAGAACCACAACCTGTGTTAGTTGCAACACACATGAAAAAAATAACAGAAGAAACTGAGAAATTAATTGATACTCTGGAGTCACGGGGAGATGTGAATCTCCCAATAAATGCAGATTTTAACAAAGAATCCCACTGTGAACAGGTTGAACGGAGAATTACATATGAACAAAAGAAGATTAATCACTTTCAAACAGTGAAAGAGCAACTCAGACAACAAGCAATATTTTCACCTATAAAACTGTTAGAAACTTGTTTTTGTTTTTTTATGTAGAAATAATATTATTTGTATCTATAATATCAAACTAAAACTATTTTATGTTCCAGGTACAGAAACTATGCTGTTCTTCAGGAAGAAGAAAACAGCTTTTATCGACAACTTTCTTACTTGCCAACTTTAAATCCAACTTTTCCGAATGAAACTTACTCCTCTTTACGATACAGTACATCCACAGAAATTCCTGACACAAGTGCATTAGCACAGATTCAAGAACCCAGGGACCAAACCTTTGTCCCAATGATGTCATTAAAACATGTAATGCATACATATTTATGCTTCATATAGACCCCTTTTTCCAAACTTTAAAGTTTTTACTCTCAGAGGCATTGTTTCTTTGAGGAAGTTGCCCAAATCATATCCTTAAACTGTATAATTTGAATGCTTAATTTAGAATAAATAACAAATCTGTTAATTTAAATGCTAACTTTATAAATTGATTAAATGAAGAGTTTATCTAATTACTATATGTTATTTTCAAAGAAGAAGGCTACATTTTCTTAATTGAAAAAAAAAATTATTTTAATTTTTTTAGACTCATTAATACAGCAATCATGAAATCTATAAAATCATTCATAAAGACACGCAATACCTGGCTCAATATTTACATTATATTTTAAATAACTAATTTTTTTTGTACAAAAATTACTTTTCAATATATCCCAGTACAAACAATTTGTAACCTTTCGAACATCACATAAACACCATCATATAAAGTTTAAATAAAATGAAGGTACAGTGCCAGCTCTGATTGCTTTAAGCTGTGATGTAGGGGGAATATGGGCCAAAAATTGATTTTCAGTTTTTATTCCTCATAGTTCTGGGTCAATCAGGTTGAGAGAAGACCTTTAAAATTTAAATAACATACCAACATAGTAAGTCGTAGGAAACTTGATGAAGGTCTGTAAAATGAAGATGGACAGGAGAATGTTTGCAGAGGTTTCAGAGTAAAATACTTTTTAATCCTTTCCTTGAAGCTATTAATAAATATTGGTAATATGTAAAGAATGATAAACTATTTTTAGGAAAAAATGGTAAAATAATAAAAGTTTTCATGAAGGTAACTTTCCTGATACAACTCTTCAACATTAGCAAGCAATTTCTCACAACTTGCACTTACTTACAATTTTCAGCTTAATTTGTTTCTTTGTACTTCAGGAGCAGTTCTGCGATGTTCAAAATTAAAATTCACATGGTTTCTGAAAAATGTACCTTAATAAAATAAAATATTAAAAAATCCAAAAGTTTATACTATAAACAATTTAAAAAAAAGTGTTATTTAATGATAAACATTTTTTTAAATATAAAATACTTCAAAATTTTATTGTTCAACATCAAAACCCCACTGCTTGAAAAAGATATAATGTACACTGTGTAAATGCACCTAAATCCCCCCTTAAGACTATGAATGTTCAATCAAGTCACCGTAAGTTAAAGTGCTTGGATTATAAACAAATTTAATGCAGACATATTCAACTGTAAAAGAAACTAAATTGGTGATGTGCGTTTCAAAATTTTAAAAATCAGAAAATAAGGGACAGAACCATTAAATATTTTGATTCCTAATAAAAATATTCATAGGCAATTGAATCAGTGAGAAGAAAAAATAACATTTTTCACAAAAAAATTAAACTGAATCATTTTGTTTATCCAAAAATACATCAATCAAAAGAAAGAAGGGGCACATTTCTCTAATGCGCATCCGTAAAATCCACCAGAGAAAACAAAACATTATTAATAACAAAGATAACTAGTTCTGCTGAAAAAAGTTTCAAGGTCATTTCAGCATGAGACTGATCTATTGAAATGTATGAAGTAGGTTAGTTAAATTTGGATCAAATAAATGACCATTTTACACTATGAACCTTAAATATGATTTATATTCTCTATACCAACAGTTATTCCACTGAAACTGAAGTAAACTAAGCACACTAAACAGAGAACATTAATTTTTAATACATTTTAATCAAAATACATTTAAAATATATATATTTTTTTTACTTTCCTGTATATGTATGTATATGTGGAATATTATACATAGTATAGGGAAAGTTATGTAATGCTGCAAAAAATCGATTTTGGTATTTCAACGAAAATACACATTTCCGGGACCCCGATTCTAAAAAAATAGTTTTTTCCAAAACTTCAGTCCGTCTGTCTGGTGTATGTGAACAACACTAGTGCCTAGACCCTGCATAGGATTTTTTTCCAAATTGAAGAAACCCCTGCCCATTTGGCCTGAATCAAAGCTCTGGGATTTTGAAAATCATTCATTAGTTTTGGGGGGTATTTTACAAGAAGTCCCTGGGACATTTTCAAAATTTTCTCAAAAACGGCTCCAAATTTTTTCTTTAAAATTTTGGAAGGAATTGTCCTAAATGCACTCTATGTGATAACAAATGCCATATTGCTCGATTCTTTTGTTTTTTCAAAAATTACAATTATGTAATTTTTTTACTTGAATCTTATGCTGTTAATATTTACATTAGCAGCAATTTGTTCACATTATTATATTTATGAGTACATGTGCTTTGCATAATTTCATATAAAGGTTCTTGAAAACTCAACAGTTTTTTGTCAACACTAGCTCAAAATTTTTCAATGTCAGAAATGCTCAACACTATTTTCTCAAAAAAGGCTTCAGATTTTTTTAACAAACTTTTCAACTGGCAAGTGATAATTGCACTCTTTAATATGATGTTAAGTTAATTTTGGGATATATTTTTTTTTTTCCCAAAAATTACACACATAATTTTCTTTAAATATCTCTCACACCGGTAATATGCACATTTATAGCAATTTGTAAACACTATTGTATCAGCGTGTTAAAGTACTTCAAATTAAGTTTTTCTAAAACTCAAAACTTTTCTGTGAAAAAGTACTTCAAATTTCGAATTTACTGTAGCGCGTAAGTGCCATTTTCTTAAAAATGGCTCCAAATTGTTCAAAGAAAATTGCTATTTAGGACACAGTTTACTATTTTTTAATATTCGTGAAATAATACTTTCGTTCTATAATTAGGAAACTGAAAAATTAAAAAATGTACTTTGGGCGGCAATAGATTGCGGCTGACGAGATGTGACATGTTTGTACAGCTATGTGAGACTAAAGGAAATAGAAAACTAATACGGGAATGTCTGTGCTATTCCGTAGCACCACCAGTTATGTTTGGAGAGCAAAAGGGATATTCTCCAAAATTTTTAAGTCTGATTTTAAAGTAAATATATGACTTTTTTTTTCTTTTCTTTTCACATGATAGTCTCTCTTACTGCCCAAAATGTAATAATCAATTCCATTTTTTTTGTTTTTGTAATGTAATTGTTAGGGAATTAGTTTTTTATTGCCTTAATGCTTTAGATAGTAAATGACAATGAATACACAACAAAAGAAGGAAATTCAATCATATTCTTATATGTTTAGCATATCATGTCATTCACTAGACATATTTTACAGTGTGCTACATCATGGGATAGTCACAGTCAAAGTGATGTTCAAGGTGCAATGGTTCCTCCTATAACTCATGTCATTGTGGATGAAAACACTACTCCAGTTCAAATTAAGGCTCTGGAAGGTTATTTCCATGCTTATCCTCAAACAATTCCATACAAAACACCTCGGCTAAAGCCACTTACTACAATAAATCCTCTATCATCAAGGGATTATATGGATTATCTTAAGGTAGATGATTTTCCCAATTAATAAAATGCATTTATTATAAGATTTGCTCCATTCATATGTCTATTCATGTTTTTAATATTATCTAGAAAGCTCTACAATATCTGGCTAAAAGAGGAAATCCATTGGCTGCATTACCAGATGCTCATCTCATACCACACATTCATAAATGGATATTGAAACGCTACAGATTCAAAATGACTCCAAACTTTGAAGGTAAATTCAATAAATACAAATAAACATAATACTAATATGTACAACATTGTAGAAATTCAAATTAAATTCCAAATGCAATAGATTATTTTGAAAACTTACACTTAAAATTTCAGGCAATCTCTTCAAAGAAACAATTACGGCATTTGAGAAAGGAAGGTACAGAATGAAGCTTGTTCATAAACCAAGAAGATTTCTTTGCAAGATACAATATGGCCTTACTTGGGATCGCCGAATTTATTTGCAAAAACTGGTAAATATACCTGAATTGTTGATAACAGTTTGAATTTTCTTTTCTATTAAAAAAATCTCATCTTCATAATAAGACCAAGAAACCTCTGAGAACCTATTATAGAACATAAGTGATATGTTCTCTAAAAACAGTGCTTTCTGAAATAATCTCAGAGCCATCAATGTCGCTGTTTTGCAGCAACTCTGATCAGGGGGTTCTAGAGTTTAAGTCACGATGGTGGCAGATTTTTGACACATAGATAGCGAAGTCAAATTCAGCCACTGGAGAACTCTAGCCGACTGCTCTCGTGAGTAGTTTTCTGAGGTTTCTCTGACCAATGTCAGGCAATTACCAGAGAAGTATTCTAACTAATAGACTATAGACCATGCATAATCTTTCCTACCTCTTCCTTGTCCCTATCCTCTCCCCTTGCAAGTGTGCACCCACACCCTCAATCACCTCACAATAAAAGTCAATTTACTCAATATAATTATTGTAGTTTATCACAGGTAATATCCCAAGACCATCAGAATTTATCTGGAAATTTCCAATACATAAACAGCAGTAGTAAGACAATTCCTTGTATAAAAGTACTGTATGTACAACAGAGCTTCAGAATGTGACAAATATTAATTACATGTGCTTTCAGAGCACACTGTCTCCTGTGTCTGATATATCATACTCATGATTGGTCAGTAGAGAGATGTGGTAAGAAAAATCAGATAAAAAATCAAATTACTGTTTCGAGATGCACCATCCTGATTGGAGGATATGAGAGGCTTTGTTAATCACAACAGGTACAAATTTCACAAGGGAATAGTCATAGTAAAATCTGTGATGGCTATGTGTAGGTCCATGCAATGCTGTAGCATCATTTATATCACGATTTCTTTCACACAAATGCAACACACTTCCACTTTTGAAAACTCTTATCTCATTTCTCATTAATTGGCCAAGTAATAATTTCTTTTCAAATTCATTACTTATAACAGTAACACTATAACTCTTGGGTTTTAAGAGTTGAGTGTAGACAACACTTCAAAACAAAATTTTAAATTGATTTACCTATTTTCTTCTTTTTTACAACCTTGCACTTTATTTCCAGGCTAGAAGAGTCAAAGGCCGATTCTATGGACAAGTTCAGACAACGATGGTGAATGATGCTCGTAAATTCTGGCCTGTAATGTTTATGAAATATTATGATGAACGTAAATTTCGAGACACATATTTTGCCTACCTTCCAAGCAAGCAGAGAGATGTCATTCTATACTAATATAGAACTATTTAGATACATAATGTCAAATAAAAGAAGTATAAAAAAAATATTTCTCTGAAACTTCATTTCCAGCACTTTTTTTATATCCATGAATAATCAATTAAGTGAATCCAACTTACTTTTAGACAAACTTAATTGTTGAAAACAACACATACTTATTACTTTATACTTTAATATCACATTTTCAAAAATAAGATTTATAAGTATTAATATAAAAAAATAACTGCATTGGTATTACAGAAGTTGAAAAATATTAGGATCAAGCAAGTACACTTACTAAGGAATACACAGGCAAACTGCAAATAAACTTATCAATGGAAAGTACACATGATACAAAAACACATTGCAGCCTCAGAATGACAAAGTTCTAAAGGATTTTGAGAAAATTTCCAGAGTATTTTGAAAATTCAGAGGTATGATGTGCAAAATATTCACAATTTTGTTCATTTGTTTTCAAAAAGTCTGTATTAAAAACTATTTTAATAGGCTGGATAGGCCAAAAATAAAGAATTTGAATACATGTACATTTCATTTTCACCAAATACATGAAACATGTCAGATTGAACTTGTTATTCTGAGCTGCAATATAATAAATTACATTGAATGATGAAGTAATTATTCTTTATTGGTTTCTCAAAATTTATTTTATATGACTCACTTTCACCTCACACACTCTTAAAATTACTATAAATTGGAACAATAAATTGTAAACCAATTTACAGTTTTATACAAAATAACACTGGCAAGTATTAACATATATTCTTACAAATTATGCCACAAGGATTACATTCTCTGTATCATTCATTCAAAACAAAAAGTGAGAAAATTAACAGTACAACAACAATACAACAAATAATACTTTTATTTCATATGTAAATTTATTTACAGAACAAGGAATGCACAGTATTCTATAATGAATGTATGCCAACAGTCTTTGGTATTTTTGTTGATTGCTTTTATAAAGCAAAATGGCTAGAAAAGTCCTTCAAGATCAGGAATAGGAGGAGGGGCAAGTTTTAGGGCAAATTCTTGGCTGTGTAACAGACCTTGAGAAGCTGATAACGTCCGAGGTTCAACCTGTGACTAAAAGTTTACTTGCATTATTGTCTACAATGTTTCATAAACATAACACTTACCCTACAGATAGAATGAATAGAAGAAAAAAATTTTTTTCTTTACTTACTGGACTAGGAGAATATAAAGTGCTTGAACGTATAGGTAGGATCTCAGAGTTGGCATTTTTACCAATAGCACTGCTGCTGACGCAGAGGCAACAATGAATTTGTGATTTCATACACTGAGCATGATAGCAATGACCGCATCTAAATGAACCAAAGGTATTTTAGTCCATTAAATGTTTTGTAAACATGCATCCTAACATTCAGCATCTGTTTTACACATTGAATTTTTTGAAAAGGACCCAGCAATAAAAACAACTTTGATTTATTACCTGAACAAAATTGCACTTTCTGTAGCTTTCATTGTGTCTAAAGGTTTGCGACATAATGCACAAATAGGATTCCTTGGAGACAATCCACGATTACAATCAGACATGAGACGAGCTAATTTATTATGCAAGTCTACACTAAGTAAACGTGATGTAGTCTGTAAGAGTGTCTCTTCATAGCAAGAATTACTTAACATACCTAAAAAGAAAAAATACAGTCAATTTTGATATATTGTACTTTACATTCTAAACTTCATTTCTTTCCACTGACTCCCAAATAAAATATTCCCAACCTCTAATCAAAATAAAACATACCCATCATGAGTTCTCTAATATCACCAAATTTTCCATCTTTGTAAGCAGGATCTTTAAGAATGACTTGCAGTATAGCAGGAAGAGAAACATACCCACTCATACTAGTAAGAAGTTGTTGAGTTAATTCCTGTAAAACTGAAAGACAAAATAAGGGAAAATTAATCAGTAATTCATAAAAAAGCAAGTCAAGCAGCTTGGTAGTAGCAAAGTTACATTTACAATCCATAAGCAAATAAGAAACTCTTCTGGCAATTAGTTCAAGGATCACTAAGAAACTGGAAGAAGAAAGCAACTAATGCTGCGATCCTTCACCTCGTGCGTTCATATCCAATATTTAAGAAAATATAATTAAAAAAATGAACAACAATTATGAATGAAGTAATTTATGGTAGAAAGTGAAACATAATTTTATTCACAAGTAAAAACATTAGTTTCCTGGGCAAATGTTTTTGTGTTTAGAACTATTTACTTTAAAAACTCCACCGCTTAAATCAGTTTCTATTACACTTTTGTTTCTCTGAGATATTCATTTTTTTCATTATCATTTGACATTTATCTATTACACAGAATTTATTTTGAGTAAAAAGGGAGATACCTATTGGAAGTAAATTAGCACAGGAATTCTTATAATCATATTTTATTCTTAACTACTGAGAAAATGGTACAGAATTAAGAAATTTAAAAAATCTAAATACTATATTGCCCAAATGTTGTAATGGAGAAGTTGACCTAACTAAATGGAACATAATTTAAAGAATAATTAATTTCATAGTATGATCCCGATAAAATATTTTCATATGCACAGGCATAGCATTTTTGGTAGTGTCATAGCACAATTTCACTATTTATTAGAAATTTATGAATACAGACTATCTCAGTGTCTTCTACAGAACTTATTTTCAATATTTTCACTGCATTGCCTTCCTATTTTGAATTTTTACAATGTGACAATTGACAAGAATTAGAAAAAGAACCTGGAAGTTTTTATAATGAAACGGGGTGGATAGTGTAATATTACAAAGTGTGAGAGCCAAATACGTCGGTAGCTTTTCATCATTTGGATGAAAATATTGGATATTGCTGAACTAAACAGAATCTATTTTACACCAAAAGAATTGAGGGAAAAAAAAAAAAATCCAGAATTTCATTCCAATACAATTGATAAGAAAATATTGTTTTTGAAGGACTTGTCGTTTGAATTAGAAGCCCAATAAAGAATAGAGCAAATCAACCGAAGTTGCTTAAGTAAAGGATTGAGATGTTTTGTCACTAAATAGTACTGTGTATGGAGAATCCATTGCTAAGACATCAAAACATGTGCAAGAACAAGAAGATAATGGTTTTGTCCTTTAGAAAGACAGAGGAAAACAAAGGCATGTGAAAAATGTAAAACTCCTCTGTGAAAGAGAATATACATCATCATTTGTTCATGATATTTGCAAATCTTAAACAGAAAACAATTATTGGGAAAAATGAGTTAATTACTAATGAAATACTTAATCATTTATTCAACAATCGAGCACAATTCTATTAAAATTTAAGTTATTAAAAAAAGGCAAATTTTTACAAGCATTTTTGAAAGCATGTTGTGCAGGGTCTCAAGAGGCCCTGCACACACATTCATGTAGTTTCTCAGGCCCATGCATTGTAGGATTAAAGAAGTCCTTTGTTACAAAAATTACCAAACCATACAAGTATAAGAATGACAATGTCTGTATTTCCAGTTTCATGAATGAGTGTGACTAATGATCAAAGGGACAACTCTCACTGTTGGTACAATTCTTTTCTACAATCTAAAAGTCAATGTATTGTCCAATGAATTTCTTGAGACTCATACCACATCTCAAGTTAGAATAGAAAATTTGCAAAAGATAGTCTGGTCTGAATTGGCAAGGTTACTGAAAATACAATAGGAACAATTTTGGTCAGTACCATCAGATGTTCTTCACTAAAGAATTCAATTGAACTGCAGGGATGTATTTGAGTGGAGCACCAATTTATTCCCATTCCCTCAAATTACTTGCACATTTCAGAATCTGATACATCATGTACAAAGTTTATCTGTAACAAGTTCCACTATTCATATGTTTTCTGGTGCATTATCATTATCAATATCATCATCATCAATGTGTGTTGCATGTGGGTTCTGTAGGATACTTTCAGTCTCAGTTTGATTACAGTCACAGAGTCAAAAAAACATGTTCTTCTGTACCTCTGTGCCATCATTCTTCTTTTATATAATGTCATGTTATGATGTGTTACTTCAATTTAATAGACCGAAGATGTTAGCCTTTTTTTATTATTGAAGTGTATTATTTATAGTGCTCGTGTTGTTTTGCAATTAAGAGTATCTCATGCAAATTTGAGTTATGTGCATGAAAATTAGTTCCTCTATAGAATGCTATGATAAATAATACATATTGAGCATTTTTTGATAACACCTTTTATGCTTGCATCATTCAAAATGTTTAGTACTACCTAAAAAAATTTTTAATGAGTCTTTATTAAATATTATATAGTAATGACTGATCATTCCAGAAAATTATCTAGTCTTTAAGTGATTGAATTCCTTCATACAAAAATAGCCATCATGAGTAGTGCCTTAAACTTTTTGAAACAACAAAAGCATACAGCAAAATGGTGTTTACGTCATCACATACAGGGCAATTAGCTGTATCCCTACCAAATGTTTAATAAAAAGATTTGGAGCAGTTCTTGTGAAAATCTTGTTTTTGATATTGCCTACAACTCACTCAAAATTGTGCTAAAACCACTCAAATTTTTGAATTAATGTACCTGATGTTAATGAAAGAATTAAATTTCATTTAAATAAAAAATCGCAATCTTTATTATTGTGGTTGTAAGATGACACTGAAAAAAATTGTAGTTTTGTAGTTTTTGACAATTCAGTGAACACTGAAAATTGGACCTATGCCATCTTTATAAGTGCGTTTCACTTTATTTTTACAAGAAATTTAAAGAAAAAATTTCAAGCCAGTCTTGAGAAAATTTTGAAAATGTCTCAGAAGCTTCATGTAAAGTACTCCCAAAATTTAAAGAATGTTTTTCAAAATTGCAGAAATTGAAGTCAGATCTGATTGCCAATGGAATATAAATTTTGGAAAAAATTGAACAAAGAGTTTAGACATTATGGTTGTTCACAGACGGACAGAGGCTTTGAAAAAAACAACACGATATTGGGAGACCCCAAGTCCATTGAATTCTCGAAATTCATTTTTGGCAGCATTACACAACTTTCTCAATACTAGTATATTTCTCCCTACATATGTAAATATATGAGAAAGTACAAAACTTCGGTCCTTGGTCTATCAAATAGAAAGAAACTCATGGTAAGTAATATGACATATCACAAAAATACAAAGATCAAAGATGGTAGAGACAGTGGAATAAGATCTCTAGCTCTGGGTCCGTAATCACAGGTTGAAAGTACTCTAAATGCTCTCTGAACTCCCCTGTAAATTATTTGGTATCTTCGAGAATTATCGAGGTATCTTCTGCTATAAAGAACCCTGGAAACAACATGCATTAAAGACAGTGCTGCTGCACCAAAAATAAAAAGTGAATTGTAGAACATATTACCCACAAACTTGAAATGTGCTAAGTGAGATTGTTAAACAAGTAATCATAAAATTTTACAGCATTGAGACCAGCACTAAAAAAGGACTTGCAATGCATGAATCATGGTAACAGAACATTCTAATGAGATTACATAGTAGTTAGTTAAAGCGAAACTAGATAACCAATAAGATGAAATTCTTTCAAAGGATTGAAGCGCCAATAGAAGAATTGAAGACATTCTTTCTCACTTTTAAAATTTGACTTTGCTACGAGGATTCTTTATCATGAAAAAGATCTTACCAGGTAATTTTCCATGAACTTCTCTTTGGGGTTTCATTAAACTCTCAAGGAGGGGAAACCACATACCACGTCTACCATTTTCATCTAAAGTGGCAGAACCACGTTGGCAAAGACCCATCAACTGGGTGGCTAGATCATGTAAAGCAGTATGTGTACCATTTTCAGAAGCCTCTAAAGTTTGTTGAATTTCAACATCCAATTTTGTTAACAATAGATTTAAAGCACTTTGGAAATCACCCGTTTTCTCTAATAAGTAAGCTGTATTTTCTATGCTGTTGTGCTTCTTCACTATCTAAAAATAAAATAATTGAATTATAAAGCAATTTGCAGATTGAGACAAAGTGGCAAGTTAAAAAAGATATAATTGTAGTGAGAAAGACAAACCTGTAGAGCCTGATCCAATCGATATCCTTCATTAGACACCAAAAATGAATACACTTTATCCGGATTATACTGGCAAAGTAGTTCAATATATTGTTCCACAAGGTGAGGGTCCAATTCCAGATCTTCTTTCATATGGCCCACAGTAGAGTGAGAATCTCTGGTACAAACCCAAACATCTTCACATTCAATGAAATTATATTACGTAATAGAGGATCGTAGTTCTCTTAACAGATTAAGCAAATTCAATGATGTGTTATAGTTGAATTTTTGGTCATTTCAGATTATTAAAAAAATATTACGTACTTACTGTTTTGAGATTATTTTATTAGGGATTCTAAAACATTTAGTTCGAATGCCATAAAGGTCCGTCCATAAATTAGGTAATGCAAATTTGGAGTATTTTGCACATCCCCTCTGCCCCCTAAGCACCCTTAATATGGGACCGAACTCCCCCTAAATAATTATATAACTCTTGCGATATTCCCTCCCCACTCATAATTGCAAGAAGTAAAAGTAGCTTATAGTTCAGTAAAAAAAAAAATTCATTTTATTTGTGTTGTGTATTAAAATTTATATTTAAAGTCTGAATTCATTGTCAATGGTGACAGCACATAACAATAAGATTGGGGGCAAATTTTAAGTGAAGGAAAAACGCACAAGCAAGAAAATTTCTGACCACAAGCCATGCATATGCCATTGCAGATGACACATGCATTAGAATCTAATGTGGCAATTAAATTGTATTCTACAAAATACAATAGATCTGTTTTTAATACAATTTTCTTAGTAATCATAAAACAACTTAATTGGATAATATTTTAATGTTTTAGTATAGGACTCAAAAAAGTAAGTACAGTAGAACGTCGCAAATCCGAAATTTCAGATAATCTGAACAAAATTTGCAATAGAGGACAATATAAATAAAATGTGAATTAGTAGTGTACAGAAAGGATTTTATAATCCTGTAGAACTGAAAACTAATTACTGAAACACAAATTTGCCAAACGAAACGTTTATTGCATGGGTAATTACGGTGTATATCACATATTTATGTAGCAATAATTTTCTCTTAGACAAACTTGCAAAATTGGTAATTGTCTTTTCCAGTAAGGAACTGAATTTGTTTGATGGTGCAACGTGGTGATGTGATCGCTATGCTACATTGCCGTTTTCTAGGATTACACTTCACATGCTATATTGCATTGTCTGGTAATCCTATTGATGTATTTGTATACATACGGTATATTTTTGTCTCCGATAATCCGAACATTTCCGGTTCTGAACAAACCACACCCCCAATTAGTTTGGATTACCGAGGTACTACTGTATTTCAACAAATGCTAAGAAATGCAACAAATAACAATGTTATGTAACACTAATTGAATACACTCCTGCTTCTATGTAACACAGCCTAACACTGCCTCAAATCCCATCCCCAACTCTTTATCATAATGTAATTTATGGACGAGCCTTAAATTGGTAATATTTTTCAACTTGAATTTGAGTCTTAGAATATTCTTAGTTTTATTGGCCTTTAAAAAAATCAAATTAATTTTATTCACATTTTTAAAGATTTTTTAAAAAAGCATTTTTATTTGCAAAAGCTAATTTAAATGAAAAGTTCATGGCAAAAGCATGTTAACTTTATTGGTTTTGAGAAAATCAGCTTTCAAGTTCTGATGACTACCAGCATACACAGGTAAACATGTCTTTAACACTTTTGTACCAGTATTTATCAAAATAGAAAATATTAACTCCATGAAATTAACATACGTAGCACAGAAAAGGTTAACTATTAACACGAATTTGATAATATATAAGATAATGTTAGCCATGCTTTTTTTCAAACATTTGCAATTTTTTAAAATTAATTACTTCATAAAAAATATTATTTAAGTGTTTATAAACTTTTATTGTATTCTGCAAGAATGCATAAAATGAATACCATTATTTTATCACAAATTGTCTAATTTCTTGATACATTGTTAGCAATACTGTTGTCATTTACTTTAGAAGTCTAATATTTTTATTAATTTCACAAAAGGTGTATTCCTTTTACAACCAATTTTTTCTCTACATGTACTTTTTTAAGAGCCACCATAAACATATTATTGAACATTCTATCAAAATGTTTTCATGGCATACAGAGAATAAAAATGAAAATAAAACAGAAGATAAAGGAAAGTTTTCTTCACATCAGAAGAAGAAATTCCCTTTATTATATTACCTGTAATCAAAAAGCCCTTGGAGGAACTGGAAAAGTATAGGAGGCTCTGATTGAAGTTTATCAATAATGGATGGTAAAAGTTGACTAAGATGCAGAGTAACAATTTGGCCTGTTCGAACTGCATCAATATCCAATAATTCCTATGCACATACAAGAACACAATAGTTATCAAAATTATCCAATAATATTTTTATCAAAATGTCTGTCAACATTTAGTTGAGTTAAATACCTTAATGTTCTCAACCACCTGGCTTTCAATACGAACACGCTCTTCCGCTTTAGTGTAGATCAACAATATGTTTCGTAAATATGAGAAAACTTGTGGACGGCGGAGAGGGTCTTTCAAGTAACACTGAAGTATTTTATCATACTCATGTCGTTGTTCATACAGCAATTCACAAACACGATAACTGAAAAAATCAGAAAAAATTTTAATACTAAAGAAAAAACAGTGACATTTTGAGCTATTAAAATATTCTGTATGCTTTCTTATAAATCTAAACACAAATCCAGAGTTGTTTTGTCTTCAAAGAGTTTTAGAATCTGGATTTTCTGTCCATTTAAGCAAAATGAAAAAAGAATTCTTTATTCCCTTCATACCTTTTAGCTACATCAAAAATATTTTTTTCATTTATAATTTTAAAATATTCAAACATCTTATTTTAAGCCCTGTTTTTACATTATTTTGTAGTCCTTAGTTCATAAGCACACATTAGATTTTTTTTTTTAAACAGAAAATTTTGAAAGTGTTTTCAAAGTACCCCAAATTAAAGTTAATACAATCGAAAGTGAAGGACCTAATATTAAGGACAACAGATTTTTCATAAAAGATTTAAGAAATTCAAATTTAAATCAAATCCCATTCAAATACTTCAAACAGATTTTTCTTAAAACATCAATTTATGAAAAAGGTAAAAGGGCTAAAAATATAAATTTGTTAAATTTAATACTTCAAATAAAAAAGGAAAAAAGAGAGGAAAGTGTACATATGTCTGTGTGTGGGGAAAACAATGATGACAACATCAACGATGATAACAACAACAAAATAAAAATAATAATAATAATAATAATAATAATAATAATAATAATAATAATAATAATAATAATAATAAATCTATAATGGTTTATTTACAATGCAGCTTTGAGTGCCTGGGCCAAAAGCTTTTCTTGGTTATAATGTTGCAGTCCTCCAGCTCTAATAAGTTCCAACAATGCCTGTTGTCGCTCCTCATGATGCCCCATTGTGCTTGATGTAGAACCTTCTGTAAGAAATTCAACCACCTGTTCAAATAGCTGCCTTTCAACATGTAGACTGCACCATGGTTTTGCCAACTGCCTAGCAAGGAAAGTAAATAGGGAACCAACTTGACTGGGCTGAAAAAAAAAAGAACAACAAAAGAGGAAAATTTCTCATAGGTACAATGTAATATTGATGAATTAGTTTGATTAAGAATATTAATAAATACATACACTATATCCATCTCCTTGAACCATTACAAGCAATAAAATATCCACAAGTCTTTGAACTTGACGTAATCCAAGCTCTGACATAAATTCTGGTTCTTCAAATGCCAATGCGAGTACATTAAGGAATTCCCGAGTATCAAAATGAAGAAAAGCTCTGTAAATAATACAGTATTATAATACCAAGATATTAATATAATTTTAAAAGAAATTAATTCTACATTAAAAGAAGTCGCACAACTTCATTTTATTCTAACTATCATAAATTCAAATCTTGACAATTTGTCGAGTTTGAAAGAAGGTGAAGAGATTTATTTTAAGTTTTTGAATAATGTCTCATTCAGAATTTCATTACTGAAGCCTCAGTAATGTGAATATAGAATCTGTGATTGCAAGACATTTTCACTGGAATCTTAACAATCCATGAAGACCACAAGAAATGAGACTGCTGTGAGGGCACTTCAATTCTTAGTCTCTATTTTATAACTTCAGAGAACTGTGCTACAGAAACCCTCATATAATGGAATAAATTATCTTCAAATTATCTTCCTTAAATATGTGTTTAGAACAAAGCACTATTCTACTGACGTGAAGATCAACTAGGTCTAAGGTAGTAATAAATAACTAATTAAATAAATAAATAAATAAATAAAATGTAAATAAATCTGTATCTCATTTGCTATGGTTATTTTATGCCATTTATCTCTCTCACGGTGTAATTACACACATTTCCAACAATTTATATAAATTATTGCATATGTGGATGGAATGACTTTCTATACAAGTTTGCCATATAGGACACAGTTTCACTCTTTTATAACATTCTGAAAGTGAAAACATTGTGATTCTACTATCAGGAAATTGAAATTAGAGAATTTTTTTTAAAAAATGGGCAGTGTTAGATGGCAGCTGGCAAGAGTATGTGGCAAGATCGAAAAGCTAGCCCAGACCAAAGAAATTAGGAAGCTAACTAGTACAAGAAAGTCTGTGCCATTCTATAGCACCACTAGTTTAATTATTCTACCCTGTTCAACTTACCTTAGATAGGGGTATGGAGATTCACTGTCATCAGCGTCTTTACTATGAAGACAAGTGAGGCATTTGAATACTTCATGTTTTACACTTTGCACGTCATCTTCAGGAATATCACCAACAGGATATGCCCTTCCAGCAAGGCAACAGCTGATGTAAACTAACAACTTGTTCCCTAAGGCTATTTGGTTGTCACTCAATTGTTTCCCTACAAAGAAAAGTATGATAATTGTCTATGCAAAAAAAGAAAAAATATAATGAAATTAAATCTATTGAATTTTATCATGAATGTGAATAATATTAAGTCACCTGTAGCCAAAGCTGCCTGCAGCAAAGGCATAAGCTCACGAATAGGAGCAACATAATCCCGAAGACCTCTATTGTGTACATGTATAATTGCATCATACAAGCCCTTCGCCCAGCAAAGACTCATGACCTGATGTACATCTAGAGAGCTGACTTCTACATGAACTAAGCAGGCTTCCAAAGCCTGTAAACGGTTTTGTTGTTCGTAATGTCTCACAAATGCTTGCATTACATCAGGTCGCACTGTTTGCAGTCTGTCATTCAACAACCAAGGCTCTAATGACTCAAGATAAATGCCCCTTGCATCTGTGTCTGCAAATGCATCCCATAGCCGACCGAACAAAAGGTCCCTGTCATACAAAAACAAAAAAATACTTATAAGATAATAATAAACACATTTAAAATGTACACTATGATGAATTAGGGCAATGTTTCCAACTATTAATACTTTTGAAGTTTACAAATATAATTTGAGAGACAAAGACACGCCACAACTATATATATACTAGTATCAAAATATCAATACTTCTTGTATTATTATTGTTTTTTCCAGCTATCTGGTGTGCTTTATAATACATACAAAATTACTCTCATATCCTTCCTTACATTAAAGACAATAAATGTAAACATTCTACTGAGCATGAACTTGTGCCCCTTGCACATAGATATAAGAACATGTAACATTATGTAATGTTAATTATGTATTAACTACATATATCTATGGAACACTTTGAATTCAAGAATATCAGTGTACATATATATGTACATGCATGCCCACACACTGTTTATACATGCACACATTCATGCATGTGTGATATTTCACATGCAAACACTAACATTAACTTAACAAAAACATTATCACATATGCAACTAAGAAGCGTTTAAATTTTTGATATCTGACAGTGAACTTGTCATGTAGACCGTCACGAAGTTGTGTCAGAAAAAATCTCCCTTACACCTGTTTTTGAAGAGATTAATAGTTAGCACTAGATGTGCTTACATTTTAACTATGTTTAAGAACAAAATTGCATCACACTTTGGCCTTCAATAATACAATTAAATTATACCATCTACTCACCAAACATGAAAAGGTTGGGGCAACATAGTAATAACCTTCATGTCTGTAATTTTTGTAAGCCAGGGGAAAAACAAAGTTCATGCACATTTAGATATTTCTCATTTTATACACAATTCTCTTCAGTTTTCTATTCATATACAATGAAACATGTTTAAGCAATCACTAATGGCCCTGGCCAAAATTGGTCACTTAATTAAGGTTACGAGTATTCAGAGAGCAAATATTAAATCAATTGTATTGATCACAATGAAACAATATACTTCCTTGGAAATTAAAGATGAATTTGTTGAAATAATCATAACTATGCATAAGGAATAAAGAATAATTACTTCTACGAGGCAAAACAAACCAATATAATATGATAGCCAAACAGGCAAAGGAAGGCTGTCAATTAAGATGACCACTTAGCCAAAGTAGCTGTTTGAGCAGGTTTCACTGTATCGTAGTTCTATGATCATGATTCAACAGGATTTGGATCATAACGTTCTTTGTTTGGGTAAATTCATATATCTTTACTTTGCATGTGAAATTCTGGTTATCATTAAGTTGCTCTGATTCCCTCAAATAATAAATTAACAAAACCCACAAAAACCTTATTCAAAAGATGTGTTTTTACAATGAACTGATTTAATCAACAGAGACATGATTGACATTGGTAAACCAAAGTATTTTAATAAATTAAACAATAGAAAACAATTAAATGCAGATCTTACGTGGCTTCTAACTCGATGCAGTATTCAACACATGCAGGAATTGCTTCCTGGTATAATTCCATATTTCCATCACTAGCCATCAATATATCCTCTATGTATGTGTTCAAGATTTCCAGAACCTAAAATTAAATTAGTGAGAAGAATCTTCCAAGAAAGAAATATTTAATTTACAATTTTAGTTCTTTTATATGACATGTAAACAAACCTTATCATGAGCAATTTCTTTTCTTTTATGTTTTGGTCCTTTTAACCCTACAACAGCCTTGGCTCGATCTTGATAAAATGCCATTCCCAAAGCTAATGCATCTAGATACCGTCCCTAGACAAATTAATTTTGTTACATTACATCAAATATTACTTTTCCTTAATTATTTACACCAAAAAACTGTAAGTACCTGTTTTACAAGGTGATTCAGTCTTTCATTCCATGTGCGAATTGTAAGAACATGGAAACTTTTAGTACCCAATATTAACATCTGGTTACCAAAACTCACTACTGAGTTATAACATGCCCGTTCTCCTGCTAATGCCTAAATTAATAAACAAAACTGAAGTTATACATTTATATTGCTTTTTTATTTTTGTACAAAAAAAAGAGAAAAGGAACAAAAAAATTATATTAAAGAATTCTATTGAATCTCAATTTTTATATTTGTGCGGAACTGATCCTTCTTTACTTTATTATTTTCCTTGTTACAGACCTGCCTTGATCTAATTTTATTGTTTCCACCAAGACACAATTAATTGATTACAATTTTTCCCTCTCCTTTTTTCCTCCAGTAACTTTTTGAATGCTTCTTTTAACTCCTAGCTTGAAATATTATAGCATATCTTATGAACAAGAATAACCCAAGACAATAAACAAAGACACTACATGAATTTTAAGATTATAACTTCTTAACATCAACAAAAATAGAAGCAAGAGGTGTTCCATTGCACAATTTTAAAAGAATGAGCAAATTATTACTGAGCATGTTGTATTTATATTCATGTACACGTTTTTAAGAGAAATGAGTAGATATAAATTCAGGAATGTAAAGTTAAAGATTCACAATAAAACAACTGCAACTACAAATTGACCAATACCTTCAAAGAACTATCCTTTGTGACACACAAAATATGAGATATTAAGCACTTGTTTCATATCAGGAAACTGCTATGAGGAAGGATGTCATCAGGAGAGGGTGTAGATGAAATGCAGGGAATACAAGTAATTTTTGAATGACAGCATGCAGTCATACATATCAAATCTGTAAATATGTTCATTTCAAAAATAATAGAATATTCTTCAAAAACAAACACTAATATCTTATTAGAGGCAATAAAAGCCTCTAGTAAGATATTAAATCTAGCTTATAATTGAATCAAAGACTTAAGAAAATTAAGGGTAATTTGTAATGGGTAATTTTTAAAACTGATAAACCTATATATTACTTCATTCAGGAATATCATCTGAAGCCTATGCCACAATCTTTTAGCAAACATTGTATCAAACATTTTTCACAAAACAGTTGTCATGCAACTAATGTGTTTCTCCACATAAACCTAATATCTCACTAGTAATCAAATGTATTTATGAACAACTAATGTGATGACACAATTAGTCTTTTAAATGTTTTGGTAATACTAGGATTAAAACTTCTACATACCATTGCTTTACTGACATTCCCTCCAGTACATAACCCTTTAAAATGACTAGTACCATACACAAGGCCAACTCCAGATAGATCCAGAACTTCCAGTTCTTCTTGAGTCCGTACATCAAGTAAATGAAGCTGCTCCAATGTGTCAAAAGCTGCAAGGGTTCTTGTGTTTAACCAATGTACACTAAGCAAAATGTAGGGAACAGTCAGTTTTTGAAGCGGTGCCAGACGAACTTTTGATCGCGCATCAACTGATACCTAAAACAAAAATTGAAAGATGAAAAAAATACAAGAATGTTTTAAACAATGGATCTTGCAACTTAATTCTCTCTTACCTGAAAGAAATACACAGTTGATTCACGAGCAAAAGCAAGAACTGGATCAACCACACGACTAGCATCAGCCATTTGAATTATAACAAACTGCCATGTGATGAGAGGGAGAGCAGCAGGAGTGCTGTGCAAAGGATGTGTGAATATTACTTGCATTCTAGGACGAATGCTCACAACAATTATCTGCAAACATAAGTGCACATAGAATCATATTTACGAATTAGTGGAAAAAGAAAATATAAAAATTTTCATTACTTAAAAGCAAACTTTAAACAATAACTGCACTGAAATCAAAATAAACTACAGCAAAATTTCAAAAATTATTACCTTCGATAATGTTGCCATTGCAATTAATACAACCCCCTGTAATGGATGAGATGCTAGAGGATGTAATAACAGTGGCTCTATGCAACACACTTCACCACGACTACCAGAAAATAAACATTTTGAATCACAGCCTCTTATGCCCATTGTACGGCGAAAATTAAGTTCAAACACTGAGCCACCACTATCACTACATAATGCCAAAGTAGGTAAATCTGTAAACTATAAGAATATTTTATATTTATAGTTTAAATTAACAAATCCACATTTTGCAGTTTACATCATTTGTACATTGATACCTTCACATGGAGGACAGCAGTGCCAGGAGGATGAACATCAACCATTGTTCGCAAAATTTTACCATTCTGAACATCAAACATGAGAATATGGCCTCTAGCATATCCTGCAAGAAGGCGCGTACAATCGTGGTTGAAACTCAAACTGGAAACAGAACCTTGATCTTGTTCAGTAGCTCCAAGGCACCATCGAAGTGTTTGAGAAGCATCAAATAAGAGCACCAAGCCATGTGATGTGCCCACAGCTATCATGGTTGTAGCTGCCATAGCTGTGGGCATCCCTGCATTTATTCGTTCCTAAAAATAAACATAACATTTTTAATTTCAACAACTATGAATATTCTAATATCACAAAACCAAAAATGAATATTATCTTTAGAAAATTACTTTTTAAGGCAACAAAACTAGTTAGAAATATATATTCTCAAAATTACAACCACACATTCATATTGATAGTGGGGGGGGATTTCTGATTTTCAGAACATATTTCTGGTTGCCTTTAAAAAATTAGAGTCCCAGACGACAATTTTTTGTTTATTTTTTTCTTCCTCCTCCCCCACTCCATTTCTTTTATTCACTTTCAAAAAAGTATATTTTATTGGAGAGAATATTTTCTAGGATTAGTAGACAAAAAACAATAACAAAAATTGTTAATAACATCTGCATTTATACAAACTTTTTGTAGCTTTCTCTGGTGTCATATTGAAAAATAAGGAAAATGTTTTTTGGCTAATAGTAGGCTGTAGTACTACTACTAGTACATAAGTAATATTAATTTTCTAAGAAAATTTTTCCTAGGACATTTCTTTACTTCATGAAATATTTATCTAAACTTTATTATAATTTTTTTACTGAATTCAATTTAAAAATTGGCTCTTGTTGATAAAACAATTAGCACCGTTTTTGAGGTGTCTATATAGTGATGTGCCTATCTACAGAAAACCTTCAATTCTTATGGATTCTTGTCAGCATTTTCTTTAAACAATTTTGAGAAAAATTGATTTTTTTCTGTTGTTGTTTTGAAGTTGTACACATTTCACTGGAGGTTTTCAAATTTTAAACATTTCCTATTTATAGAAAATAATGATTATTCTTATTTTATGGACTAAAACCTGAGTTAATATTGTATTGTATTGAAACTATACTATGAGGATTATTCAGACGTGTTAGGGAATATTACATAAAAAAAATATGATTATAAAGGAAAGATTTGTATGTATTATAATCAGTGTCAAACGCATTTTGGAAATATGGAACATTGATTTGCATTCATAAGCATCATGATAATCTCAAACTTGTGGGTTTGAAAGTTACTTGTAACTCATCATTAGTACATGCAGTTACACACAATCCATTATCTTTACGATGAATGGAATGATAATATTCATAGCACTGATTGTACATGTGCATTTTCAATTGAATATGGAGATGAACAAGAAAACGTTATAACCAAATCTCCAAAAGTGAAATTATTGCAAAGTCAACAACTATTAATGTTCTATTACATGTTCTACTACATTCAAAAAGTGCACAGAATATTAACTTATGCATTTTAGTGTTTACAATAGTAATCATAATTTACTATTATATGTTGGCACATATCAATTCTGACATCACTTCTGTAGAAGTTTCATGACCATAACAATTAAATCGTTTATTTCAGAAACCCGTCAAACACCAAATTCCTCATTTTGAGAAATTTCCCAATTTTTCTGAATTCAAAATATTTTTATTTATTAAAGCAGTTGGTAAATGAATATTTTTCATATAGATATGCACTAAACAATGTGTCTATCCTCTTGGAGCAATAATCCATCGCGAATGTGTATTTTAGATTTTGGTGTTTGATGGGTTTCTGAAATAAACGATTCAATTGATCTGTTTCATTCACATTCATTTTGATTGTTGTTTGTGCTTGTTTACATGTCAAAGATAGAGGGTATAATATTAGCAAAAGAACAATGCTCAAACTAAGTTTTGTTTTGTTGCATTAATGTGCTTCCCGCACAGCGGCCAATCAAAAACGGTCATAAATGAAGCTATCATTGTGTGTTTACACGTTGTTGTGAGGGGGTGAGAAAAAAGAATGTCGAGATATCAGCAAAGGTTGCAATTGAGTTGGAAATGTTCAAATTATTCTCTACAAACATTTGAATATGCTTTACATATCTCAAAAGTTAGTTTCTAAATGGTTTTCTACAGAAAACGAAGAAACAAAAATTATACTTCCTGGGGATCTAATCAGTATTATTAGTCAAGATGACACTTTTTCGAATAATATAACTGCTGGAAATGAAACTTGGTGCTACTTGACAACTCAGCCCCTAAAGAACAGTCAAGTGAAAATCTAAAGAAAAAAAATTGTGAAAGTCGATGAAATTTCTACAAACGAGATGAGATTACTATGACTGACATCATAAAGTGGTTTTCATGAATGCTTTTAGTCACTTTACATGGACTGGCAGAAGTGTGTGACTGCAACTGGGACTGTGCATTGGGAAAGCAGCTATTTTATAAGAATGGCTGTGTAAATTGCATTATGATGTACTTTCTGTAGAATGAACAAGTCCCAGAACTTTTTGAGTCTAGCATGTATTACTTCAACTGGCCACAATAATTCTTTGGTCAATTGAGCTTTTGTTTCTTCCATGTGAATAATAACTAGGTTCCCTCAATTCCATTAATTAGCTTGCAATTTTCTCTGTTGTGTGAACAAACATGTAATGAAAGGTAAATTTGTTATAGTAATTCCATGGATTACATTCATTATTTTTCAGATTATCTTGATTTTTATTATCATTGCAGTACTTCCTATTCAAATGAATTATTGAATTTAACTTAATCAAAATACATTTTAATACCCTAAAAATCGCAAACCCTAGAGAGAAATTTAATATAATCTTTTGGGTGGATTTGTACCCAGAATGGTCAGATCCTCACCAAGAGACCAAGATATGTGACACCTTGTCTCGATGGACCAGAAGAGGTCTGTGAGTGACAGATAGCTGCAGGTTACTAGATTACTATAAAACGATATGCAATTATTAAAGTGTTTTATTTTTAACTTCAATTTCTTAAATAGTGTCCAATCTACCACTGGTTTTGATGACACCATTGAAAATTTCAGAGAAGACAGATATTTAAACAAATAACAAAAATTTCAACAAACTTTTTCCTCTCTTTTCATAATCTTTTTCAGCACCTCCTATAGTACCTGCAGCATATAAGCAACTCTGACAGCAGTCTTGCCATGTGCTGTGGTACGTCATGTGACCAGCTCTGAAGCAATCACCTTGCCAGGATTCGTTTACTTTCTCACAACCAGCGTTCATGTTGCCACTCATCTGACTCGCATGAAGTTGCAGAGGCGATAAGGTTTGGGTGTGGCGAACATTATGAACGTTATATCAAGACATGTTGTCACCTGTCAGTTAGTGTTGTTTTGAGATTTAATTTATCTGTCTTGTAGGCGGTGCAATGAGCGCAGTAACATGTGGCAACAGCACATCGACCTGTCTGAGTTGCTTATATGTTGCCAGTACTGTAGACAGTCAAAGCTATCTTTAATTCATTGAAATCCACAAATTCCTAATTAAATAGAAGTAATGTGAGTGGAAATAAAAGAAGATTTGCTTAAATTTACTGCAATACTGGAATGACTTTTCCTACATATACATGATTATCAGAATTTAAATTTAACCAAGTTGTGAGAACATCCTGGTATTACAAGTCACAAAAAGAAACATGAAATTATACACAATTTTTTTAGCATTTAGTAGCTATTTTTCTAGAATTAAATAGATTCTTATTGAATTATAATGAAAAAGATGTCTGATCGAAAGCATCAATATACTTGGTTATTTTTAATATTAGGTAGAATTATGTCTGATAAGTGAAACTTCTAAATTAACTTAATCTGTAGACGTGTTTTCTTATATTGGTCACCAAAAAAGTACACTGTATATATTTAAAAAGAATTTGAAAAAATGAGGGATATTAAACAAGTTATAACACACACCATACAAAACCTGTGTAATGAAAATCATGCCATAAAAACAAGGACTCCAAATTTTCAATTGAAACTGCACAGAATTATTTTAAGCAACAAATATTGCACGAAAACCTTTATACTAAGCAAAAAAATTGGTCTTACATAATTTACACACATAATAATGATCAAAAATAGACAAAGAAGTCAGCATGCAAGAATAATCAAAGTTTAAATCAGCATTAATTTCAATGTTATATGTTATTATGAATATACTATTCAATGAGAAGTATTTAATTCCTTACAGAGGCAGACATTAACTGACTGGATATTCCCTTTAGAATGACATGGCGAAGAATGGAACCTGTTTGTTGAGTTGGGTTGTTATGTGTAGCCAAGCGAGTGGACTTTTGACGTTGTTCTGAAGAACTGCGGCTACGGCTTCCCATGCTTCCTAATGACAACGTCTCACTTCCCTCAAAACCACCCTGCAAAAACATCAATCCTATTACAAAATGAAATTACTCTTGGTATTTTTCCTGCAGTAATTCATACTTCAAAAACACAATAAATTAAATTACATCTAATCACTGAAACAAAATCTATGCTACAATGAAACACACAAACTTTATGGTTCTTCCATTTGCATTTTTAATTATGAAGAAATGTGTTATCATCATCTATCACTCATCAATAACATCTTATCACCTCAGCTGTTGGAAGTAAACAATTTGACATATCATCTTCACTCAGAGAAGCACGGTCATCTAGGTCATGAAGAATGCTCTCCAAAGTAGGTGTGTGTTCAACAGGAGGTATGTTATACTCAGCATCATCAAGCTGAAACAGAAATAAAACAGGGGATCATTAAAAATATTTAGTTCAATACATTTCCATCAGGAAGAAGAATTAACGCAATGAGCCACCAACTTAACACAGAATACCAAAATCATATAATGATGTTGGTGAAGTATTGACATCATCATGATATGATCATTGATCCGCTTATTTCTATATTTAAGGAATACATATACTCTAGTAATTAACACAAATTAAATTTAAACTTACATGCTAAAACGTCTTGACAACTGTCAAATATAAAATACAAAAACTACATTTGGCGAAAATCTGAAAAAGTGAATTCTTTAAACATGTTTATTACTTGTCTACTATTCCTTCCAAATGGTCGTATAGCATTTACCTCTTCAATTTCAAGATTCAAGGAACCAACAACATTTTCACTTAAGTCGGCACCGCCTACCCCTGCGACGTCTGCCATGTTTCAGAGCACCAGTGTCGCCAACGTCACCAAGTGTATCAACTGCTATCAACTCTCAACCTCTTTCATATGATAGACGAACGTAACGCGCACTTCTCAATTCTGTAAACGCGCATCTTTTCAAGCGAAAAATTTGTTCTCCCGAACACCTTTTTAAAAAAGATATGACCGGTCTTTTTTGAGAAAAAGCTTCAAACTATATATTTCAAAATAAACATTGATTTAATGAAATATATAAATAAATGTACGAAAAATATTATCTGAGAATGCTGCAATAAGAGCTTACTTAATCTCAGACACGTGGGGTGGGGGGACAGGGGTGTGGTCCGCCCCGGGTGACACCAATTAGAAAATTTTATATTTTAAATTATGTAATTTAGATGTAGATTATTTATTTCAATATTATATTTAAATTATTCTGCATTACATACAGTTTTTAATATATTATAAATAAATGTCAGGGGCGAAGATAGTTGCCTTTTTATTAAATAAGTATAAACTATTCAGTAATATGTTTATATTTAATTTATGGGGGTTGATTGATTGATTGTTAGTGATTCCGGGTACGTCAACTACTATGGCCATTAGTCCCATAAGTCAAGTGCATGTTTTACTACGGAAATGGCAGTGGTCTTTCCTCCACTGTATGGCGAGATCTGGCGCCGACCTACCGTCAGCTAGCGGAGTTTTCTCCGACCATGCATCTTCCACCAACGGGGCAAGCTCCAAACCCCTGACCGGTCTCACGGCATGTGCGGTAGTGTAGTGACGTTTAGTTTGTGTTAAGAGATGATAGGACAAGGATGGTAATATCGCGCGCGGTCCGTTTATTAGGGTACTGCTCCGACATTCGTCTGGTATTGATCGGAGAAACCGATCAGAGCAGCCTGCCGCTTGAATACTCTTCCAGACAGCGACTGAATTCACCATAGCTGACAAGCTACTGTCGAAAATCCTATCACCATCGACTCCAACCTAGGATCTTCAGGACAGAGGAACTGCAGTGCCATCAGATGATGCCCCGAGCCATCTCTCTCGGTTCAGGGTTAATCAGGAAAATAGTAAGAGTGGGAAACAATTTGATCCACATTGACCTTTCGATATAAAGACAATTCAATTTTCGCTGGAAATGGTGAATAATAAAAATGTTCCATAAATATCATAGCACGATAAATGCCACTTCAGAAGAAGTTAACTGCATGAATTACTTTATTTTGGGCATACAACAATTAATAATTTGTAAATGTAATACATTTTAAGGCTTATTCTAAAATGCACGCCATATTATTATTATTATTATTATTATTATTATTATTATTATTATTATTATTATTATTATTGTTGTTGTTGTTGTTGTTGTTTCGCGAATCGGCCATCATGGGGACACGCGATTCATCCATCCCACCAGAGTCAAGTCTAGAATACACGTAGGTGCACGTTACTTTGTCTTAGAAGAATCAGCATTTTAACGCTGCTTCCATTTTTACACCCCAGGGTAGTTAGCCCTGGGGGATGGGGTGATATTATTATTATGATGATGAAGATGAAGTAGACACACACAAGCATACAGAGACACACACACACAACACAACCACAGCCGAGGCAGCACTCGAACCCGCGATCTTCTGGTCCCAGTCCACTGCGGCACTACTGCCTTAGTGATATCGGTCATCGGATTGGCTTTTTTTTTCTCGCGAATCGGCGATCATGGGGCTACGCGATATTAGCATTTCGCCGAGGCTCAGTCATAATTGTCGGGGCATGTGCACTTTTCTTTCTTATTGGGGGATCAGCATTTTTAATGCTGATTCCATTTTTACACCCCAAGGGTGTAAACCTGGGGGGATTGGGTGATATGATGATTCTGATGATTAAATGATGAAATAGACAAAATTGACACACACGCAAACATACAGACATACATTATTATTATTATTATTATTATTATTATTATTATTATTATTGTTGTTATTAGGATTGAAGTGCTAGGGTGATGATGAGGGGTGAAAGGACTAGGATAGTGGTGGGAGGTGGGGTAGTGGGAGATGTCAGATGTTCGTGGGATTTTTGGCACCATCCCAGCATTCGCCTTGTGACCAAAGGAATAAAATAACATGATTTTTTCTGTTGCTATACTTACAATGCCTCTGTTTCCTATTCTTCCGTCAATTCATTGACCAGCCTCATGCAACATTTACATGCATTGTACAACATGCAAACATGCATTGTGTGCAGTTTTCTGATTTTTCGATCTATAATTCGAATTTCTCGCTCAGTCCAGTCCACCAGTCAGAAACTGTACTCGGCTACAGGCACCGCCAAACTACCAATTGCAGATATTTTATTCCTGGAGTTCAGAGCGGACTGCAGGACAAGTCTCTTCTATAATAAGAAATCTCTCGCACTCCCTGCGAATTCTTTCATTGCGACGTTCAAGATCTTCTCAAATTCTTAAGTGCCCATATACCTGGCTCAACATTTTGAATCATAATATGCATATCAACTTCATTGCTCTCTGACGTTGTTACTTTGCCTCTCTTTAGATTTTTTGCACATTTGTCAAAAACAAATTCCATGCAGATGTCATTGCTAAAATCACTGACGACAGACATTTGGAAGAGAATCTCTTCATTCTTAGCAAACACTTCAAGATCATCCACGTAAAACAACTGTGATACAGGGTTTTCATCACCACTTAGCCTGTAACCAAAGTCAGTGAGTGACAACTGTCTAGATCGTGGAATAAAACTAATGCAAAAGAACAGAGTGGAGAGCGAATATTCTCGAAAAATTATTTTGTTAATAAGAATACTCGTACAACTACTACTACATTTCTGCTGTGAATTAGTAGCCTAGTATTCCATGACCGTGACAACAAACTACAAAGAATGTGGGAGGTCTTGAAAATGACGTAATGAACAAATAACTACAGATGTGTTCATTCCATATATTTTACAAGTTTAAATTAAAATGTAATGTTAATAATACGAACTAGAGATAACACATTTGGAACTCACTATTTCTCATTTAAAGCAAAAATCACGAAATTTGGTTGAGTTGAAAACTCGCAATTCCTTTCTAAACGAAAATCCTTAGTGTTCTAAAAATGTAGATGATGATTATTATTATCACTACTATTAATTTTTTTTCAAAACAGCTCGTTTTAAGCGAATTACACGTTTTTGTCCTTGCATAACTTCGCAATGCTAAATGCTCCATTCGTTTTCATATTTTAAAAAAATCTCTCAAATATAGGGATAACTCATGAAATAATTTCAAGATCTAATATTGAGAACTAGGTTGCACTGAAAAAGAATCCTCTATCTTCAATATAAAAGGCGTAAGACAGGTTCGAAAAACATTTAAACTTCTTCAGCACTAATCTCAAAATTACGCGAACACTACTCATATTTTCAAATAATTGTATGTGATCTTATTTAAAGATCTAATTTTTAGAAGATTACATTTATTATTTACAGATTACATTGTCAATATTGTTGATAGATGCGACATTTTTTAAGCGTCCTTTGCTCTAACAGAGAAAATATTTTAAAGAAACTTGTGTTATAACAGCATGCGCGTTCTCGCTTTATTTGTAACATTATCAAAATAATATAATACTACTTAAACATATATTTGAATATTTAAAATAATACCAGATAAATATCAACGTAACGTTCAAATTATGTTATTCAATGCATTTACCTCTATCCATTCAACAAGTTTAAAGAAAAAACTGGAGCCGTTTCTGAGAACATTTTGAAAATGTCGTTGGTGGTGATTAAATTACTCCCCAAAATCAAAATTACCGTTTTATATGCATGTCATCAGCCAAACTGATTGGGGAAAATCAGTTTTGGTGAAAACCTTGCCTATGGTTTAGGCTCTGGTGTTGTTCATCGATGGATAAACGGTCGAGCAAGTTTTGCCGTCAACCAATATTTCGGTATCAAAACCCCACAAAACATGAATTCTGACTACCCAACGTGTTAAAGGAAGTTATTTACTACATACAAGGACATGAATCAAGGATTCATAAACGAGTTTTTATGTCTGAAAATCCGTTTCCTACTGCAGCGTTGCAATAATTTATCTATATTGCATAAGCATATCCAAACAAAAACATACAGAAAAAAGTAGTCATTTTTGTGACAAATAATGTTTAAAAATTTTTAAACCAAAGTTTACCCATAATAACGCGAAAACTGCATATAGTTGTTGAACGTCGCTTCAGACTATAGCTAATCTTCAGCGGCAATGCTAACTCTAAGCTAACCTCAGCCGCTCAATTTTCGAAAAGTGCAAAAGTTACAAATAATGCGAGAAAGTGTGGGTTGTTTTAGCATCATTATTGTCCTGTAACTTGTAATGCTGTGAGTGAAGAACATTGTGAACGCTATCGTCATCAATTGCTCAGACTCGAAAATCGTGATGTTGGAAGATGTATGACTATCGTTGCTGAGTATTGTTGGTCGGTCTCCTGAAATGATTCTTAACTGAAAAATCAGGAGGAATGCAAAATCTGAGTGGGTTCAAACTAGGTAAGATAAGGTCATTTGCAATTACAGCAAAAATCTAATACATAAAAATCAATGTTTGTATGTTTGTTCGTATTTAATGCGCTGCCACACCGTTCATCTGATTGCGATAAATCTTTATCAACATATTGCTTGCACTTGCGAAGAACATAGGCATAGTACAATGGGAATGTTCGTATATGTGTCGCACAAAAAAGGGAAAATGGAGGCGGTGTTAATGATATGCGTTTATGACAAGCGCCACTGAACAGAAGCTCTAGGCAACCCGCCGCACCCTCAAATATTAAGCGCGACTTCGCTGCATATTCAGTTGTTAACCGTTTTTGTTATATATCTGTAGTGCTCTTGAAAAAGTGCATGAAAATGGACGAAACGTTGAAATGTGAATAAATTAAATACAGCAAGATTCACATTTCCTGATATCTTCTTGTGGATTGATCCTGTATGGTCCAGACCTGTATTAAACGTCTATTTATTAACATTATTATTATTATTATTATTATTATTATTATTATTATTATTATTATTATTATTATTATTGTACAGTGTGTTTAAATAATTCTTAGGACATGAATATCTGGGCTCTATGGGTAGCGTTTGATAATGCACAAAGAAATGATAATGCACATCATTGTCATATTTCTCTTACTGTTGTGTTCTACCTCAGTCGGTATTATCGAAAATGACAGCTTCCGGGCTGAGATTTGCGAGGTTTTCGAAGCGTCCCTTGTCGCAGAGAGAGAATGCTGTAGTTATTTTTTGAGGTCGCATTAACATCTCGGTTATTAGCGACAACTATTGCATTTAACGGTATGGTAATGATTATGACGGTATGGTAATGAATATGATAGGGTGTGAGAGGACGAACCCAAATACTACCATGCCCCAGGCGGGCCTCTAACCCGCGATCCGTCGGTCCGAAATCGCTACGGCACATCTGCCTTAACGATCTCGGCCATACTATCGGCTCATTTTCTTTTGTTCGTTCTCAATTTCATGATTATTCTCAGTTGTTCATAAGAACCTACCTTACAAGGTCAAAATAAAACTTGAAAGTTCAAAATAAATACACACGAAATTCTACTATAGTTTTTTTGTGAACCAGTAAAAAATATTTGTATGCTATATACTGGAGATTAGACAAGCAACAACACCAAGGAAAGACATTATTACAGAAACTCAACCAAGGTTCTGTTAAGTCTTAACTCAATCGATCAGATTGACCTTGGCCTTGAACATCAACGACCAGTGTGAGCCAGTATTTAATCCAGGTTTATGCAGAAATAAGTAACCACTGCATGCTGAAAGTAGCGTGCACGAAACCACGAAACGATGTCCTTTTCATGTCAACATTTACTCATATCATTAGCAAAAGTTATGTCAAGAAGAGGCATTTTAGCTTTTAAATCGTGAATATAATTGATAATTCTCGTGGAATATTGAGTTTCAACTTCGCTGTCGCATGATTCGAATCGGTATTTCTATTTTATACAAGTCACGCAATTGCCTAGTAGCTAACCTCTATAAATTTTGTCAAGCATCGAATCAATAATTAATTTCACCGAACCTCCGTGGTAGGTGGAGTCTGGGACAGAGTTCCCTCCATAAAAGCATTTCGATTTATATACGTTGTAACACGAGGGCTGTTTTAGTTTTCGCACAAAATTGCATGTGATAGTTTGCATATCTAGCTTGCCACCCTATACCAAACCTTTTACCTGTCTCAGAGAAAAAAAAACGTGTGCTCAGAAATATTATAAAATGTCATTCTCACGAGAGTTGCATACATTTTCGAAAAATGAACACGTACACTTCTTTTCTGTGATGTAGAATTTAATAGGATATTAATTAGCTATAAAGTACCTGGGAAACTAAGTGTGGGTATGAAAGGATGTGAAGCTTGATACGGGAGTAGGGCACTTGGAAACTATATGTTTTTCTTCTTACCCAATTCGAAATGGATTGATTGGAATTCAAATATTAGCGCTTAAAAAGATAACGAAATGAACTGAGCAGACAATCAAGAGAAACACTGGTCCTAACAAGCTCATTTGACGAATTAATGGTGCTGCACCGGCACGTACTTTCTCGCAATAGTTGAATATTTTGCAGTTTTCGAAAACCAAGCAAATTTGGCACAGATCCCATTTTTGTTGAAAAGATTTGCCTTTGAAGAACAGATTTTTTTAAATTTTGCAATTTTCGGTAATAATTATCGAAATATAATTATCGAATTATTATTTGAATTATTCAGAGTTTTAAGAAAATAAGACGCGTGCCATTTTAAGCGTTCTTTGCTCCATATCAGAAAAAAAATTGAAAAATCTGGAACCATTTTTGCGACAATTTTGAAAATGATATGGTTTCATGTAAAGTACCTATCTCCCAAAATAAAAATATCAGTTTCAAATTCATAGTATATAGAGTTCGGCCAGATCAATGGCGGAATATAAAATTTGGAGAAAATCTTCAACGGTTTAGGAACTAGCGGTAACCACTGACGGACGAACGGACTGACAGATAGACATTTTGTCGTCAACCAATTTTTTGCTATCAAACATTCACAAAACGATGAATCCGTTTACAGAACTTGTTAGAAATAAAGGAACAAGATTTATCCACTTTTTAGATATCTGAACCCCTACAATAGGAGTTTTTCTGACGAAAATCTCCACTTTCCGCTGCAGCATTACAATACTTCTCTTCGTACGCACGTAGTTGGCGAGTAACAAACGTGGCGCAATTCCAGAGACTATTCATAGTGTATCAAGTAGGAACGGAATTACATTAATTGCAAGAAGGAGAGAGCCGTGCCCCAGAAAATAGAATTTGAAAAAAAACACAATTGTGATAATTGCATATCCAAAATATCTATTGACCACTGATAAAATAAGTTAATTGTAACACATTGTGAATTAATTATTATCGCGGGGTCTGAAAGAAAATATGAAGAAAACTTTCTAGTTGCTTTACTTGATTGGTCTCAATTGTGACAGATCATTCGTCATACTATCGGGAATTATCGAGATGACACAACATAAGACTTCTCGTAACTTGCGTACATTCTTAATATTTAAATTAGCGAGTTAAGAGCTCTTCACATAGTAAACGAGGAGCATAAACCGATTAATACATAAAATTGTAATTTGAGTATTTCCTGGCTGGTTCTTTTTGGATTTGGTTTAATTCATATGTGTTCAAGAGCGTTGAGTAATTTTCATTTTGTTTGGTGTAACTCAAAAATCTTGCTTAACGTGTGTAAAATGTATTGTATATATCATTGTTTTAATATATAGGTTATATATTGAATAAATGTTTATTATTTACATAGACTATAATATCGAAAAATAATTCAGGGTGACAATTTGTGATAAAGGAAAACTTCGAGCGACGCCCTTGTACTGTGCATGTCTTGGTCTTCGCTGGCGACTTCATTTCCCTTTGCTCCCCGTTGCCACGGGCAACGCGTACACAACCACTCACACTAATCTGCAGGGTGTGTGTATTTGAATGGCCTAACTCTGCGTTGGTGAAAAGGCTTTTCTTATTAAAAAATGTTGGCGCAGGCGCGGCCGTAACCTGTGCCCTGCCCTCGTGTCGCTAGGTGGGTAAAGCTTTTTAACTGGAACGAGAAATGGAGGGGGACAGCCGAGCGGCGGTTGGGGCGAGCCTCTGAAAGCTTTGCATGTCACTAGAGTTAGGGGCAGCCACGATAGCACGCTTCTGTAGGTTTAGCGTAGCGTGCATACCAGCATAATCATGGTACAGACTTTGGGTGTATCATTACCCTTTATATCTATCATTAGCGATCTTTTTTGTCGGGTAATTGGATGGCAGAGGCTGGTATCATATTATATAAATATGCATGAACTTCCCCCTCCTCGGAAACTTCCTAAACAGAAAACAGAGGCCCGGCATTTCGACATCAATTTACGTTACACAACTTTCTGCTCGATTCAGACTCCCTCCCAGCATTCAGTTTTTGGAGGGAACTTGAACTGTGAGGAGGTCCCTATAAGCTCTTCCCACAATGAAGAAAGGGAAAGGGGTGAGACTTTTACAAAAAAAAAAAGTGACAGAGAAAATGATTATCACAATAATTATACAAATCAGTTATTTTATTTTCATAATAGACACTTTTTTAATTATACGTCTCGTGAAGTTCATATGATGAATTTCTCGTTTAGAGTCAATTCATTAACAATTTCCCAAAAGTTTCAGTGACTAATGTAAATTACTTATTTCAGAAAGCAGTTTCTGTTGCTCGCAGAATGGCGGGTAAAAAAGGAGCTGCAATTCAGTTGCAGCAAGAGGTCAACACAGATGAAGAATGGGCTGAAATGATTAAAAAACCGGGTCTGACAGGTAAATACCAGTTTAAAAATTTTTGAAGATTGAAGTACAAACTATTTACGGTTTTTAATTAGAGCATTCAATTACATGCTCTAATTCCAGGAAAACATTAGTGAAATTTCATGTAATCTAGATAATCTCTAAGGGACAATCATAAGCATCAAGAAAAAATATAAAGATCTTTGAAAGTTGAAGTTTCTCAAGTTTACTACTTCATGATTCTTACTTTTGAAAACAATCTTATTATAATAATAATCTTTTATTCAGAATTTTTCCTTTTTTTAGTGATTCTGTTGCAATCGAGTTAATTCATGAGATTTAAGATATTTAAAAATTATTATGGATATAATGGACCATTAAAGAACAGTATCACAAAAACAAAACAGAAAAAAATAGTTACAATTAATACTATACTATAATAGAATTTTCTTAGTCTAAACTTACAAAATATATATTTTTTATTTCAGTTGTGGATGTTTATTCTGCATGGTGTGGCCCCTGCGTTGGTATGGTGGGTAATTTGAAAAAAGTTAAATTGGAAATTGGTGGAGATTTGCTTCATCTGGCTATAGTGAGTAGTAAATCATGTTTGCATTCCTCAATGATCAAAGTTTTTTCCTCTCTCATGTATTTATTTGAAGTTGACTTTAATCTCTTTCATTTACTTTCATTTTCACTAAGTCTCTTAAAGCCTCATCTTTTCATTTTTATATCATTATTGCAATTAAGTTTGTCATCACTTTAGATTTTAACTCTCCATAATATAATATTTAAATAAATCTTTGACAAAAGCTTTTGTTTTTAAAAATTAAATTAAATCAATTTAATTCAAATTAAATATGTTCATTGAACTACTACTGTTTACAATTAATCAGATATGTTAAATCATGCAATTCTATTTTAAGTTTTGGTTTCTTTGGTTATTTTATGGTTTCTCAGGTTAAAAATACATTAGACAGTTTACTTAAAATGTATAACCTAAATAGTGTATCATTTGTAATTCCTACACAATTCTTTTGCACTGTAGTAAAAAGGTTATACTATTTCCTCCATATCAGAGCCTATTACTTCACAGCAATCACGTTGTATTTTAAAGAAAGAAAGAGCTTCTTGACTATAATTTAATTATATTTAGAACAATAGGCAATATTAAATTATCTACAGTTAATCACATTGTTGAAATGAAAATCATTTTAGAAACGTTTGGTGTGCGGCTACTTTTTTTAATAGATGTAAAAGGCAACTTTTTTCAACTTTCTAAAATGGAAAGCTTTACATTTCTCTGTGTAGAGTGAATATACTTTTTGAGATCTTACTTGAGATTACTATTACTGTTTGTCACCGTTGTATTATGAGAAAAAAAACTACAGCAGATGTGTTCAGATATAATTAATTTTTGATTGAAAACATACTCGAAGAATGGATCAATTCTGACAATAAACTCATGTGATTTGTCGCACATGTGCTTCTATGGATATTTTATTATATTTACTTTTTTAAAGATATTTTCATGAATATTTGCATGATTGGGCATTCATTTCATCAGATCAAATTTCTTTAACTTTAAATTTACATAATCAAGTCTTCAAATTATTTTTATCACTCATTTAGGCAAAGGCTGATACAATTACTTGCCTTTCAAGATTTCGAAATAAAAGTGAACCAACGTGGATGTTTTTATCAGTGAGTATCATATGTGCTTGGAACAAATACTCCTTAGAATTAAATGATACTTTAAATTCCTTATTTTTTAAAATAACGTTTTTTAGAATGGGAAAATGGTTAACTTGATGTTTGGAGCCAATGCTCCTCGTCTTATAAAGCTGATGACAGAAGAAATACAGAAAGAGGGAGAGTTTCAAAGATCCCAAGGGGAGCGATTTGGGGTATGTATGAATGTTACAGTTTTAAGTGTTATTATAAGTGTTTTTATTGTTGTAAAACAGTCTAGATAATGCATGGTATTGAATATCAAATTCACATTTGTTTTTAAAAATTGGATGATTTTGTTATTCTCTGAAAAGTGTTTTTCATGATCCTGCTCATTTGAAAAATCAAATGATCAGTGCTCATTTGAAAACTGATTCCAAACAAAAGATGGCAGAGGTGGTTCCAGGGCATGGGGCCAGGCTTCGAGACAAATGTTTCTATTTTTATTTGGCAAAATTGATTTAAATATTTATTTATGTTAGAATTATGAAACTACTTAAAAGTAATATTGTATAGTAATGTATATATATACACACACACTACAAAATATACAATATAATAACAAATTTGTTTATTATTTAACAAAAATGTATGACCTCCCACCTCCCCCAAATGATTGACTGGATCCGCCCCTGGAAGATGGACTATGGTGTGGATGGTTAATACATGTTGCTAAAGAATAAACTAGTGGTGCTACAGAATGGCACAGGCTTTCCCCTATTAGTTTTCTATTTCTTTTGATCTCAGCTAGCTACTCAAACTTGCCACATACTCTTGCCAGCTGCCATCTATCACTGTCCGAAGTACATTTTGTGACATTTTCTTAATTTTTCAGTTCCCTAATTGAAGACCAGAAATATTGTTATAAGATTATTAAAGAACAGTGAAACCTCATCCTAAATGGCAACTTTCTTTGAAAAACTGTAGTTGTTTTAAAAAAACTGGTGTTTAAGAGCTACTGTAAATTCAAAAATTGAAGCTCTTTTTCATAGACTTTTTTTGAGTTTTCGAAAAACTTCATTTGAAGTAATCTTAAGTACATTCACCAACAAATACAATAGCGTTTACAAATAGCTGGAAATGTGCATACCAACAGTGTGAAAGATCTTTCAAAAAATTTACATTTGTGGAATATTTGAAAAAAAACAAACCAACAAAAAATACGCCATAATGGACTTTAGGTCATATTAAAGAAAGCACTTATCACTATCTGTTCGAAATGTCTGAAGAAAAATTTTGGAGCCATTTTTGAGAAAATAGCATTTGAACGTTTCTGAAAATGCGAAATTTTAAGCTAGTTTTCACATAAAACGGTTGAGTTTTCGAGAATTATTATAAGCCATTATTTAAAGCATATGTACTCATAAATGCAATAGTGTGAACAAATTGCCGCTAATATAAATATTAACGACATGAAATACATGTCAAAAAATTAAATTTTTGCTATTTTTCAAGAAACAAAAAAAATAGAGCAATATGGCGTTCATGCCATCTTATAGAGTACATTTAGCATTATCCCTATCAAAAATTTAAAGAAAAAATTTGAAGCGGTTTTTGTGGAAATCTTGTTTTTGAAATTTTTTTAAAAATTTCACAAATTGCACGCAATATTGCGCAAAAACTATTAAAATTTTCAAAAATATCTACACGACCCTAATGAAAGAACTTACAATGGAGAACAAATTTGATTTGAAAGAAAAATCTATATCTTTAATTTTGTAATTGTAGGAAGACACCGAAAAAAAATCATACTTTTGAAATTGTCAAAAATTCAGAGTTAACCGTAAAAATTGGATCCATGACACGTTTATAAGTTTATGTTACTCTATTCTTACAAGAAATCTAAAGAAACAATTCAGAGGCGTTTCTTGAGAAAATGTTGAAAACATCCATGTAAAGTACCCCAATTTAGAAGAATGTTATTTAAAATTTCAAAGTTTCGACCCGAGCAAGATGGACCGGAGTTTCTTCAACTTGGAAAAAATCCTATGCATGGTTTAGGCGCTAGTAGTGGTCACAGACACCAGACGGACGTTTTGGAAAAAACCAACATCGACAACCGACATCAACAATCAACAACATCAACATCAACATCAACGACGACAACGACAACGACAACGACAACGACGACGACGACGATGACGACGACGACGACGACGACGACGACGACAACGACAACGACAACGACAACGACAACGACAACGACAACAACGACGACGACGACGACGACGACAGCGACAACGACAACGACGACAACGGCAACGACAACGACAGCGACAGCGATAACGACGACAACGGCAACGGCAACGGCGACGGTAACGGCAACGGTAACGGCAACAACAACAACAACAGCAGCACTTTTTCGGTATCAGGGACTCCAAAACGAGTATTTCCGTCATATAACTGTCCATAGTATATTACTTCTTATACACGAACGTATACCGAAAAATAAAAATAATAAAACACTAATGTGGGAAATAATATATTACGTATAGAAAGAATTTTAAAGTTGCACGAAGAAAATAAAATATCTCCGGCTTAATATTAATTACATATTGTACTGTAGTACTCATCAAGAACTGTAAAGCGAACTTGTTCCCAAATCTATGCTTTGGACAGCAAGTAGTGGGTTCTGCACTGTCACCCTAATGACAAATAGATGTGAATCGCAGAGTTTGGAAGACATTCGGCCCGCAAATGTCAATGGCCTTCTACGTAGTAATCTTTCGATGTGTAGAACGCATCGTTTTCCAGCACAAGCCTTCGACATTGATGAAGTGATATTTAGAATGCTGATCATTGATTTGCGACAGAACGTGTTTTGTGAACTGAGTGTTCTATTTAAAAATAGAGTTCAAAGTAGCATTTTTAGTAACTTTAGAAGAATAAGTGAGTAAACACGAAGAAAGCACGATTTCGTTAGTCAGATGTAGTTTCCACTACAAATTATACTGCATCACAATTGATAATACAAACAATACTGTACGAGCGGTTAATTTCGTGTTTTTTTGTGTCCACTTTCCGAACTTTTAAAATTGTCAAACTAAAACCAGAAGGCCATGACTCATTGTGTAGCCCAGACTTTACTGTTACATTTTGAAACAAATTCTTTTTCTTTTACTCCTTATGGAGTTTAAGTATTATTTGACGCCCTTGGAAGTTCGAAGTTTCCTATGGCTAAAAAGTGGTTTAAGCAAAGTAAAACTAGTTGCAGGTAGTGCACTTCATCTGTGCGAAAAATAAATGCTTTTTTTATTTCTTGCTTAATTTTTCTTTTTAAATAAATATATTCATTTATTTGGTAAATAATAAACAATTTACATGTTTCTGGAGCGTTTGTAAGCTTTTATAATGCAAATTTATGTCTAGAAATCATTTTTTCAAACGAACGTTTGAGTGCTTATTGTGGATCATTTATTTGGAATATCCACGTACTTTATTAGACAAAGTATGCTTAAAATCGTCTTAAGAGCTTATTTTCGAAGTTTCGACGTTTCCTCCCCGTTCAATACAGGTGTCATTTTACACTGTATACACCACTGTCTTCTCTATTATGAGTCCAGTCTGGAAGGTTATTCGAATATGTAAAACTGTTTTCTATGTCATTTTACTGCGAAACGCTTCATTACTGTACGGTATTTTCTTGGCGATTTCCGTTCTTCTAAAATGCCCAGATATTCTTGAATTGTGGGAAAGTGCTGAGATTAGTTACAAATATTGCGGAAGAAATAATACTTCTTTTTCGTATACAAACGAGTAAAAAAAAATTGAGCCTATATTATGACGAATTGGAAGCATTTTAGGTCGATCCTGTATCTAGCACGACCATATGATCGCGCCCGACATGCCGTCAAAACATTAGTTCACTGGTCGGCTGTAAGGTTTGCAGTGCACTCGCTGGCCGTGATGTTAAGGTTATATTGTAGGCCCTGTCTTTTGCTTTTGTTGTAGAAAATGGCCTACTGTTACTCATCTAAAAATTTTATGTTCGGTTCTTTATTACATGTTGCAATGTCTCAAGAAAGTGTTCGCATGCCGTGAACCACAGAAACCCGGTTGTTCACTTTTCTACCTATAATTAAAAATATAATATAATTATAAATGTATTATGTAATAATTATAAAATAAATGTATTGTTATAATTAAAAATGCATTATGTACCTTTAGATTGACATTGAAGAACTCACGCCAGAGGAAAAGGAGAGAGCAGAACGGGAGAAGGCGAGAGAGGCAGAAGCAAACGCTGCTAAAGAAGCTGTACTCAGTAAGTGTCACATCTAACAATATCAGTGATTTTATTTCTTGATCAGGGAAAATTAGATTTGAAAATCGAACGTTAGAATATATAACCTGGAGTTGAGTATGCTTGGGAATGAGTTATTGGGGGGCTCAATAACATAACCCAAACCTCTCAAATCAAAGCTGTTGTGTTTAGAATGCATATTACATTCGTCATATTTCAATTGAAGACTTACCAGTGGGAAGGATTTATACGTATTATGAAAGTTCATGTAGAACTTCGCCATATTCGATTTTTTCATCTCGAATATTACTTTCTCGCTACTGCTTTCGCATACATTTACGAAAATTGCAAAAATTCATTTTTTTTTCTTAGCCTTCTTACAACTACAATTACAGAAATAATATTTTTCTTATTGAAATGTGTTCATCAAAAACAAAATCATGTCACAACAATAAGACGTAATTCACAAAAATTAGCTGCCGAGTCGTTGTTGCTGAGCCATTGTTGCATTCCAACCTGCAATTTTTATTTCACATATTTCAAATAGATTTTAAATAATTTCTAAATATATAACAAAAACCGAATCAATCGAATAATTTATAAATCTTCGAATAATTTGTAAATATGTAACAAAAGCTTGAATGAAAGAAACTAACAATAAATATGAAATAATGTACAAATTCTAACTTCCATCTGCCTAAAATTACGTTCAGCAAGCGCCGTACATTCGTAGCCAACGACTGTTTGTCACCAAATTACACAAAATATACTCATATTTTCGATGTATTCAACTTGGCCTTATTTGAAGATTTCTTTTTGATGAACACATTTCATGAAGAAAAAAATTGTATCTTCACAATTGTAATTGTAAGAAGACGCTGATTTTTTTTTAATATTCAAAATATGAGGCATTTTAACTAACATGAGATATTCACTATTCTCTTAAGCGTCATTTGCGCTATCTAAGATAAATTAAATGTTCAAAAAAATTGCCGAATTTAAGAAAAATGATGTAAAGAAAATATAAATTGCCTGTGTCTGCCACAAAATTTCGCAAAAAAGACTCTAGTTGAAAAATTGAACATGAAAAATTGACATCATCACTGACGAAAAATTGTTGATGGTAATTTACTGCAAATACAGGTAAATTTTATCTCTGTTTCATTTGTAAAATAAGCAATTACTGCTCCTGACTCTCCAAATGAGCAGATATTCATCACAGGCGATTTGTTGGAATTGGACGCTTTCAAGTAATAGCTGAAGTGTTTTAAGTAATAGCCAAACAGAAATTGCAATATTTCAATACTACGTAACTGTTCTCAATAATGCGAGGAAGTATATGTTTTAGCACATTAGTATATATATATATATATATATATATATATATATATATATATATATATATACACACACAATATATACATATTATGTGTATGATATAAAAATTTAACTATACAAATAGTGTAACTAATAAAAAAAGTAAAACTATAAAAACTTATGTATATGACATGAATATTTCTAAGAATTTTAATTTGTGAATAAATGAATATCATAATTCTAAAATGCTCATGTGAACTAAAAGTGTGTTATTTCTTTTTCAAGATGAGGAACGAGAAAAGAGACGCCAGAAAGTAGTCAGGAAACTTGTGCGTGAAATGAAATACGATTCTGTAGTTCTATTTCTGCCATTCCTTAAGGATGCAGAAACTTCTTCTTGGCCTGCGTACGACAAGTTAATGGGAATTTTGGGTTCTGAATTTTCAACGAAAAGAGAATCGTTGATTGAACTAACTTTGGAAGATGCGGAAAAGGTACAGTAAATACTCTGCAATACAATATTCAGTACAGTACACAATAGTCTTGAGCAGCGTGGTCCAACATTTACTTACACGAGGACTAAACAAACTGTAGTTAAGGAAAGTGCGGGCCATAGACTTTAAGAAAGAAAACGACTTACGTACACTAGTTTAATATATTACTTTATTTTAAATAAAAAATCGAAGTATTGATGGTTGGCACTACCTTTTTGATACAAGTTTGTTAGTGTTTAAGATCAGTAAAAGCACTTTTACACCCATATGTACTGTCATAACAACATTGGTTGCATGTGTACGAGTAGTTGCATGTTCAACAGAGGTTTTTTACGTTGAACGGTCCTAGGTTCAGGATCCGACTGTGGTGGGTTTTCGACATCGGTTCAATAGATGGATCTATGTGCCTTCATCGATCGATCATCCAATGTCGATTGGTCTGATTGTTTCCGTTATTTCCTTCAGTAATTTTGGATATCAGAGTGGTACTTTAAACAACTGGTCACGGATCGCAGAAGATTCGTCCCTCGCCCACATGTTCTCTCTCAAATCATTGCGTTAGTCCTGTGCAAGTCGCCTCTCCCTCATAATCTTAGAAAACACAGGATGGGCCGAGATGGCTCAGTTAAAAATTTGTTACCGCTGCAGCATTTCTGATCGGTTGGTCCCATGGTGCAAGTTCCAACGGAGGTGGATTTTCGATACCAGCTACAAAGCGATAGCTGGGTCAAATTCAGCCGTTGTCTGGAGGAGAATTCTAACGGCCGACTTGGTTTAATTGGCAGTTTTTCGGTGTTTCTCCGATCAGTACCAGGTGAAGGCGGGAGCAGTACCCTAACAAATGGGCCACGGACTGCACAAATATGTTTCCTTGCTCATCCTTGCCTCCTCCTCTCCGCTTACACGTACACACATGCATGTCTGGAACTTAGAGCCTGTTCCGTCTCCTCCGGCGGTTACTCATTGGTGGAGATATCTGGAAGGGGAAAGCCCCGAATGTCAACGTTAGTTCGTCGCCGCACCTGCACAGGAGGAGCACGCCATCTCCCAGGATATAAAAGTAATACGAGTACTCTTACGGAAGCAGGAGGTGAGGTGGCTGGAATCGGAAAACAATTAATTGGAAGACACCGACTGCGTTACTGCGAACCGGTTTCAGGTCATAGTGCGACTTGGAATTAGCCATAGCGCTATTAGATTCACCGCATGGATAAGAGTTTCATGGATAAATGTTTTACCGCTTACCATTTAGGCCGCTTACCATTTCGAAACAGTTTTTAATTCTCTTTAACAAGTACATTCGATAAGTTGTTTAATTTTTAGTCGTTTATCTAATAAAGTTCATCAAATCCCTTGAAGCCTAATGCCTCTCACTAAAGTGGGAAGGTGAGTCTGTAAATACATATTTTATTATAACAAAGTTCAGTTACACATTTTCGTTTAGAATAATTTTAACAAGTAACCTACAATGAGAATTTAATATTTATACTAAAAAAATAAAATAGACATCGTTCGATTTGAAATGTTTACATAATTATCCATTATTTTTTAGGTTTCTTCAACATTTAAACTTTCCACTTCACTTACACTTATTACACTTTCATACACATACTCTTTCAAAATTTAAGCTTAACTTGATATGTGTTGGTTTGAATCGAAAATCCTCTGAGCTAATTGAAATGGACACTTTCAGCTTTTTGGTGTTTATGATGAAGACTTGGCAGAAGAACTTGACAGAATATTGAAACTAGGTCCGTGTTTGGCAAAAATTATTGGATTACCTAACAAGGAACCTGTCGAAGAAGGCGAGGCCGATGAAGAGTTGCTAGATGCGGAGGAACCGATAGTAGAAGAACCAATGGAAGACGGAGAAGAAGGGGAAGAGAAGCCAGAAATACATGCTACAGAGGCAATTTATTATGCAATTTATGGCGGCGGTGGTCCTCCAGATGCGGCAGCAATGAGAGAAGAAGAAGAAAGTAGGAAAGCTGCCGGAGGCGAGGAAGAAGACGAAGAAGAGGAAGATGAGGAAGAGGGCGAAATGAGGTAAGACTTTATCAATACGAGAATGTATAACCAGAAACCATGATCTTCTGAATTTTAACTAGAAGTTTCCGTCAGTAAACTTAACCTCAACAATAGCTCCCATGCTGCCCTCAGAAACAGATTGGCTTGCATCTGTCATTGGAATTAATACGCATTTATCACAATTGTTAGGGATAGCAAATGATTTGCTTTTTGAACAGTACAGAAAGTTGCTCAATTGTCTCAAAACGCAGCATCCGAATACATGTTTCCCTCTTAGTGTAATCCTAGACTACAAAACTTGTTTAAGTTGTTTACTTTAGCATGGTTAATTATTTTCAGTTTATTGACTCAACTCTTCAACCAGTATGCAGAAGTAACTTCCTTGCCTGCGTTATGGGCTCCGCTAACGGAAGAACAAAAAGCAGAGGCAGTCATTCTTTTGTTCCCATCTTACATTGAAGAATTAATAGGACCAGAGCCACCACCTCCACCGCCTCATTTGGCTGTAGTGTTTGAAGCACATAAATACCCAGAAATCATTGAAGCTCTAGAAGATTACTCTGACGACGTTATTCGCTTTGGATTCTTTGACGGTTCTAACCCAGATACTGCAAAGAAAATGGCTACTTCGTACAATGAGTATCTCCTATCAAAGAAGACAGGGTAAGTATGGATTTATTTCTTTACAGGATATGTTTTAAATGGGAAATATTGAAGAAATTGAAACTAAGAGAGTACAGTACAATTGTGGTTCTCCTTCCTTTTTTACAATTCCACATTTGAAACACACAATATATATAATCCTTTTTAATGTTTTCTTTCCCTCTTTCCTTTTTTCGTACATTCATTTCATCCTTCCTTCCTTCCATCCTTCCCTTCCTTTCTACCTTCCTTTATTGTTTTCTTTCTTTTTTATTCTTTTCTTTCTTTTTTATTCTTTTCTTTCTTTTTTATTCTTTTCTTTCTTTTTGCTTTATTCTTTTCTTTCTTTTTGCTTTATTCTTTTCTTTCTTTTCTTTCTTTTCTTTCTTTTCTTTCTTTTCTTTCTTTTCTTTCTTTTCTTTCTTTCTTCCTTCTTTCAGATGTGGAATACCATTTTTTTTCCTTTTTTGTTTTGCTGTACACTTTTCTCATGATTCTCACGGTTGTTCGAAAAGTAAGAAGAAATATGTTTATCGAATATGAAAAATTGTTTATCCAGTCCGGAAATTACGTTTACTTCAACGCTTAAATTCAAAATAATTAAAAACAATACTCAATTTTTGCAGATGTCTCAATTGCATATAACATTTAGTTGTTTTTTTAAATGAAGTCCAAATTTAAAATTCACTCTCAGTTTCTCAAGAATATTCACACATCTTAAACTAACTTCAATATTACTACAATGTTTAGTGTTTAGTATGTTTTAAATGTGGAGTTGTTTGTTTGAAAGAACTCTTTTGATCTACAATAAGTGTTCTTAAAATACTTCGAAAATTCGTAAATTAAACATTCGTATGTATAAACAAATTAATTAAATGCAAGTAAATGCATGTATAACTAATACATTTACTTGAGCGAGTTTCGTCCATAGTGAATTGCACTATGGATGTCTCTGTTTAATTTTATTGCCTACTATGTATTTACGTAGCAAAGAGAAAGTAGTATAATGATGGAGTTAAAAGTGACGACATGTCGTTAGAAGAAATTGTACTGCGGAGCTCTGATATCGAACAAGTGGATAAATCTTGATCATATCATCGCTAGACAGTATTTCAGAAAACTCTTGAGTGTGCGGACGTGCAGATGTGTGTTTTTGCCATTCCGTCACCGGCGTCTAGATCACTTTCCTTGCAGCAATTGAGACATATGATGTGTCATTCGACGCGTCTCGGTCTCGTGATGGAGATTTTTTTCGTATTCTGCTAAAGAGATTTAAAGAAAATTCCAAAAACGTGTTTCTTCGAGTTTTGGCGCTGCGAACTTAGTGATAATGTCAGGAATTAAACCAACGCCTCCTACATTGTTCTATGTTATGGTGGCGTTATTACATACCAGAACCCAAAGGCATTTTTTTGCTTAATGCAATATAATTTTCTTTCAAGACTTTGGCAACACTGATTATGTCATCTTTAAGTGAACAATTGAATTACTAAGTATATCGCGCTGCAGTTTGATTTCAATTTAGAGTCGAACTACTATCGTATTTTGTCATAGAAGCGAACGCAAATTAGACTGAGTTTGTGAAGTTTTAATCTCTTCAAAAATTGGGGGAGACAAATTTGGAAGTTTTAAGGAAATCCGAGGAAGAATCATACTTAGTTGTAAAAGATGCTGCGATAGAATTTACTGAACTAATTGGGAATAATCTGCATTTTTGCATTTCGCATTTGTGCTAATGCGAATGTGAATTATTACAAAAAATGGAAAAATGTAGCTGTGCTAAAATTTAACTATTAGCATCAAACCTGCAACTATTTATTACGGCGATTATAATTTTGAAATTGCAATAAGACCAGTTCATATTCCGTATAGAGATAAAACACAACATTGGCTGTTGGGAACTTTTGAACGTGTGTATAACATTATCAACTACCACGATACATTAGTAAGTCCCATGCCAGGTACTGAAAAAACTCATTTAAACAAGCTGGGCATGAAGGAAATGAAGTATGAAATAAATTTTATATTTAAAACAGTTCACTGCGTCGGCGACACCACATTTTGCTAGTATGTAGTAAGATACTTCTAACACGGTTATCCATGAACCTGGCTGTTTCGCTAATGCTCAAATTCTTCACGAAGCAGTCTGTGACGTTAAAAAGCAGAGGATGGTGCCCACGCTATGCTAGATATATCCAAAGCATATGACACTGTTCCTCACGCGGCGATTCGGTGGGCTCTATCCAGGAAAGGGAACCCTGACATCTGTACAGATTTGGTAATGAACTCTTACGCCGACGTTTCTATCGTCATTTAGCACCCCTCGAAAGGAAATAAGATGCCAATTCGTAGAGGAGTAAAACAGGGGAACCCCTTGTCTCCTTTTCTTTTGAATTATGAAGTGCATGCTGGAGAAATTGGAAAACAAGTCAGGATGCACATTATTGGAAAAGAATGTGTCCGTGTTAGCATTTGCAGACGATCTGCTGTGTTTAGCAAAAGAGGTTGACAGGAGTTAGGAGAGGATAGCAGGAGCTCAAGAATTGGTTGATATTGTGGTGGAATATCTTAGAGCCCTCGGAATGACATTGTCCTTCGCGAAGTGTTAATCATTTCAAATTACAAGCTTTGAACGATCCTGGTGCATTAATGAATCCTGTCTGGAAAGTTTGGGGAAAGAATTACTCTGGTCAGTAACATACCTGGGAGTGAAATACTCTATTGGGAATGGTTTACCATCAAAAGCATAAATTTACAATTTGAGGGAAGTAGTGACGAGGCTGCAGAAGGCGCATTTAAAACCTACTCAGTTGACATTACTTCATACCCACAAAACGCCACTTTACCTTTACCTATTGGTTTTTATCGATACCACCTATGCCAATACTCAGGGAAGCAGACAGATAAATCAGAGTGACAGTCAGTATATGAGTACTGCAGATGGCTTATTCTACTTGGCCGGGAGAGATGGAGGTTTGGGATTGCTGAGTTTCACCAGGATAAGGTAGTGCTGAACCTAGGGTTACGATTAGAAAAATCTGCAGATCCTATTTGCAGATTGCTGAGCTCCTACTCGAGTTTCTGGCAACGGACAATAAAGACCGGCTAAAAACAGACTCAAGGCCCTACACTGAACAAGATTTAAAAGCTTACAAGAAGAAATGCGCTGATGACGGTAGGTCTTGGACTTCTCCCAGGTAGCCGACTGGAAGAAGCTGTGATCCCAAGGGAGAGATGATAAGGTGCTTATAAACGATCCGATTGGAAATGCCTTTTTGAAAGTATATCATCTTCTGAAACTAGGTGTTTTTACCACTGAATTCTAATTGAGATCAAATACCTCTGCCAATAAATCTACTTTTAGTAGAGTAAGGCCCAGAGAGGATGCGTACTGTAGGAAGAGCAATACAGTGGAAGAAAACTACGAATCACATTCTGGCTCCATGCATTTTTACTAAACCAGCAAGAATGAAGCGTCATGACGAAATCAAGAACTTCATAGAGGGGAAGATGGTCCGGAAATCAGACAACGGGGTGTCCACAAACGCCACTTTCTCTGTTGCCGAAGAGGTTAGATTCAAACCTGTCCTGGTAATCGAAGGTCAGGAAGGGATCCACATGGCCGATGTGACTGCCACGAGGATGGGTCTAGCCTTCTGAAATCACGCGAAGAGAAGGTGGTAGAATACCAACCATTCATTTCCCTGGCAGCCCAACTTCATGGAGGGCTCAACACCAGAATCCACCGTGTGGTGGATGGAACCTCTGGAGCTACGCCAAGATCTAGTCAGTGCCCTCAAGATGTTGAAGATCGCGTATCGAGGTGATATACTGACTATCTCAGGAGCTTTATTAAGCTCTATGCACAATTTGTAAATTACGATGGAGCAATGTAGCACTGATGGTAGAAAAATGCAGAAAATGACATTTTTGGTCCCATGGGGAAGTCTAGGGAATTCATGGGATCCTAAAATGGCTAGGAATTACTTAGTTACCACGACTTTAAGCGGAAAGTATATAGTATTTAATGTAACGTATAGAAAAGTGTATACTAGTCAGATTCCACGGTCTTTGGATTCTTGATAAAAGAAAACTCAGTCTACGGCAAAACGTTTATCTTTCTGTCTGTGAGCAACAACACCGTTCATAGAATTTTCCTCAAAATTGATATTGCACGATCGCTCTGGCCGGACACCACACTCTGCGAATTTGAAACAATATTTTGATTTTGGGGAACTCTGAATTTTCAAAAATTCAACATTTTCTCAACATTTACAACTACAATAATTAAGGTAGAGCTATTTTTTCATGAATCAATATTAGATATTTAAATAATGTAAAGTAATTTTATTAGAAAATATTAGTAGTAGTATGGTTGCGTAGACTTCCGCGGCCGGAGTTTGTGTTGTCTAGGCTATACTGGACAAGCCGCGTCGCTGACATGGTGGCTAACCTTTCGTCTAGCGTATTGTGGCCTTCTTCAGAGCCTACTGCAGACGTCTGCAGTACGCTCTGAAGAAGTCCACAATCCGCTGTCCGAAACGTTAGCCACCATATCAGTGACGCGGCTCGTCCCGGATAGCCTAGACAACACATTAGTAGTAGTAATTTTGAGTGACCGTTACAAAAACGTGTGTTCTTTTCTAGCGAAATTCGATTCTCCTAATAAATGGGGTCGATATTTATCGTGCGACAATTGAAGTCAACAGAAACATGTTTTAAATTAGTGTTTTCTAAATAATTCACTGTTTCACGTGCAAAACCATCCATAACTCTTTGATAACCCAAACATTATCCATTTGTCTGTATATGGAGCTGCACAGTGCTTATGAAATATACTCGAACAGTTCGTTCATTCAATTTTTGCGAATTATGTGTCTGACAGGAATGAAAAGTTCGTGATGATGCTGAATAATTCCAAGAGTGATTCTGTACTGATATTAGCTCAGTTAGCTCCAATATATGTAAGTCTGAACCAAGACGACGGAAAAGAGGATTGTGGAAAGTTCTTCCCTGAAGATGAAGAGGAACAACAAGAAACAGAAATAGCAGTAGAAGAACCAGAAAAGGTAAAAGTAATACTAGTGATGAAATAAAATTCTATTGACCCCAACAAAAGTGAACTTTAAGAAAATCCACAATTATAAATTACAATAATCAATATATCTCACTTTGTAGGCGCAGTCATAAAACAACTACCCGGGGAGATAGTGGCATATAAATAGTTCACAAAATCGATATTATTTTCATCAAACATCTTTTCATTGATTTCAAATTAAAATATATTTTTATACAACCGGATTAGGAGTTCTAGTTTAAGTTAGGACCTCATCGGCTTCTTGTCTTCTTATCTCAGCTGAAAGGTTTGCTGTAAAATTTCAGTTTTTCTGCATGAATGTTGCACCACTGCCAATAATATATATTTCATTATTCATTACATAATACATTTTGCATGATGCTCAAATACACCATACGCTTACGTATTTGAATTCTTGTCAAAGGCGATGTGAATAGTTTTATTATCAAAAATATTTTTCAGTACAATTATTTTAAATTCTAAAAGTAAAAAATATCCGGAACTAAATACTGAATGAGAAGGATATTAATTTTATACTGTTATGTTATCCTCGAAGTAGCAAAATACTTTTGTTTTTCATAATAGCGTATTAATAGGATTAAATATTCATATTAAAAGTTTCGCTAAATTTTAGTCAGTGTACCAATGATTTGGCTCAGACTTTGAACTTTTTCAGTTCTTTAGAATTTTTATTATAAATATTAATGCCAATTGTGACAATAAACATTATTATTAGCTTTTTTATTGTAGTTCTAAAAATTATGAACCAGGAATATACAAATTTTCAAACTCAAAAAACTCGAAATAATCAGTAAAATATAATCAATCCAATAGTTCATTGATATATCTAATCTGGACTATATTATCATAAAACGAGTTAAATTTGAAAAAAATAAATTTTTAAATTATTTTGAATGTCACTTAAATAATAGTAATAATAATAATGATAATAATAATAAAACGATAATAATGATAATGATGATGATAATAATAATAATTATTATAAAAGTAATAGTATAATTCTTTTCCAATACATTTTAAAAGTTGTTGCTTGAAGCACTTGTGCAATCACAATCACAATCAATACGCAAATGCCAGTAGGTAGCACTATTGAATTTTCTTCACTTCACCGGCAAAGGAGCACGGATGTTATTCTTTTGAATGCACTCCTTGACTAGAAGTATTGTGGCAAAGAAAACAAGTCACTGTTGTGACTCTTCGACCTGTTTAAATCCCTGTTAAAAATGCTGTTCTCAAGGGGCAATTTTGCTTGTTGCTTTGGTTGTTTTCGGCGTAATACTTTTTAACTGCCATTATGTCGCGGTTTTTATAATAATTATTTGTATATATCTGTCAACATGATTTTTATCTAAATCAAAGAAGGCAGTATTGATAAATGGAAGTTGCATTACCTCCATTTTGATGTTTAATCATTTACGTAGGTATTCAAGTCAGTTAACTGTGAGCAATTGATAGTTATAATGAACAAGATACTTTCAGTGTCATTACGCTAACTTTACCTAGAACTTTAAATTTCATTATATCGATGGAAACTTGATAAACTAAAGTAGTAACAGCAAGACAATGAACCGCATTGAAAACAAGTCAGGACGTTATTTTTGAAGTAATATTTCAAGACTCAAAAATTTGAACTAGCTATGCCGTTGTCAGTCGCTAAATTCAGTTTGTCATACCGACGTTTGTAAACGACATACTATTTTATGCCATCAATGAAATCTTTTTTTTTCTTTTTCCTTCCAAAGGCGAAGGCAGGCGGCGCGCCGGCGGCCGCCCCCGAGATGCCGCCCCCGCAGCAGGCCGTGGACGTGCTGCTGGTGGAGACGGTGGCGGCGACGGGCGAGGGCCAGGCCGCCGCCGCCGTGGACGAGGCGGTGGACAAGGCGGCGCCGGAGGGCGAGGGCGGCGAGCACGTGGAAAAGGCCGTCCAGGTGCGCACGTCCGCCGCCACGTCGCGGTCTTTCGAGATGCCGGTGCATCGACGTCCAACTCTTGCCTCGATGCACTGAAATATTTCGGCCCGATTTTCAAGTGTTTAAGCCGGCTTAGGTGGCTCAGAGCAGCAATTGATGCCATCGGAGTCTCTCTGACTTGGAGGTCCTAGAATTCGAGTCCCGACTGTGACAGGTGTCTCGACACTAGCTACATAGCTAGGTCATGTCCAGCCATTGTCCGGACAAGAATTCTAGCAGCCGGCTGCTCGGATCGGTAGTTTCCCGTGGTTTCTCCGAATGCCAGGGGAATGCTGGAGCGATGCCCTAACAAACAGGCCAATCAGGCGCGCGATCTCTCATTCCTCTTTCTTGTTCTATCCTCACCGCTTTCTTTCACACACTAGCACGAACTACACTATCACATATATCAAGAGCTTAGAGCTTGTCCGGGGTGTGGATCGGAGTCCCGCTGAGAAAGATTTACTGGAGGGGGATTCGTCCGCAAGCCAACGTGAAGGTTGGCGCCGGGTCTCACCATCCAGCGGTGGTGAAACAACTAAACTAAAGGAACTAAAGACCGTAGCAGTTGAGGTGCCCGGAAATCGAAATAACTTGTTTTATTATCCGAGTCGTCCCTTCGTGCAGGAGGTGGTGCAGGACGCGGCGCAGGAGCCGGGTGAAGCTGCCGCGGCGCAGGCGGCGGCTGCGGCGGCCGGAGGCCAGGAGGGCGCACAACCCGCGGCGGCGGAGGCCGTGGAGGCAGCTGCGGCGGCGGCGGCAGGGGAAGCCCCTCCGCCCCCGCCCCCGCCGCCGGCTGACGCCCCGCCGGCCGACGCTCCGCCGGCCGAGGCGGAGGCCGCACCGGAGGTCGCACCGGAGGCCGAACCGGAGGCCGCCCCGGAGACCGCGCCGGAGACCGCGCCGGAGGAGCCGGCCCCGGCCGAAGAGGAGGCGCCGCCCCCCGAGGCAGAGGGAGGCTGAACAGTGGCGCCGTGAAGCCCGCGGGCGTGCCGGCCATGGCGTAGGATCGTGAGCTGCCCTTCGGTAACAGGGCCACTCGGCAGGAGGCGATTTCTCCTAACTGATGATACCTCTTATAGTACAAGGCGCACCCCCTGGTATGTGCGGCTCCTACGGTAGGGGTCACCATTGATCGGGAGGTGAAGGCCATCACTGCCTCAGCTGCCCTCCCCGCCGTAGGAAGGGGGCTGCGATGATCGCTATTTCACGCCGCTACTAAAATTTAATTCGTCTGGTGAAGGAGCTATGACGAGCTAATGGTGTTGAACATGACTTCCTATCCACGGAGGAAGTACATTAATTGTTACGGAATAGCTGTCGCAGTAATCATTGTAATGATTAGCTCTGTTACGAACCTCAGCCATATTGTTTGCAGCGGGAAAGAAGATCGGGAGAGATATATAAAATATGATTAGGAAAAATCTCAATTGTGAATATTCGTGATTCTAGGTAGGGATAATGTGTGAGTGGGACTGTGACAATAATTGTGATAATTGTCACAATCGTGAGGGTCCCGAAAAGTAATGTTTGTGATATGTAGAAACGTATTGAAGTTTGTGGTAAAGGAAACATCACGCTTTTTCCGTACATATTTTATATTATCCATTAGGATGTTTTCTTGATAATTGCAATGTCATTGTTGTAATCATTAATGTACATATCAATACAGTAGTATCTTGCACATTAGTATCTGAAAACTCTAAAGTACGGAATTAGAGAAAACAAAACTAAAAATACTTCGTTATTTTTACTAATATTGTAGTAGTGAAAGGCACTTTGTTCCTGTAAAGCCTAAGAAAAAATGATTCTATAACCGCGACGATCTGTAGAAAGTAGGTCCAAAAAATTAATATAAAAAGACTGAACATCAAAATAACCATAAGAACTGTGTATTCCTTAATGTTAGGCCATTCGTTACACACAACCAGCGTGGTATTAACAATTGCCTAATAATGGCAATAATTTTTTGATTTGCAACTGACTTCTTAGCAAATACTAAGTCATGAATTGAAATAAATATATACAAATGATATGATGTTTTCATTTAATTATCGTTTTTTGCTCTCTTGATCAGGGCACCAAGAAATCAAGGTGCAGTATATACGAGTATTGTAAAAAGATATGGAAAATGTAATGGAAAATTTCTCAAAAATAACTATAGATTTCCCAAAAGGGAGAAATGTTTATATTTTGAAATAATATTTCATACTAGAGAACTGAATACCTTTGCCCTTCAAAACATGGCACCCTTGGCTCATGGTATTTTGGTCCTTTAATTAGTACTACACTAAGGAAAGAAAAATGAAAGAAATGAAGACATAGATAAATAGTAGTTCCGATTATATAGTATAGATTTAATAGTAAATAAACCTGAAATACGTACAAGAAGTGATTTACTTTTTCGAATAAAATAAAATAAAATTGTTTAATTAAGTAAAATGTTCAAGAAATATTCAAAATTATTCACTGAGCATTGTTCGAAATAAATATAGTTAAACGAATACAATAACTAAATAAAATAGGATCACTGAATTATCATTTTTCAATGTTGCTTGCAATTAAAATTAATGATCACGTAGTTACGAATTTTCTTGTCTAAACCAAGAAAGCAACTCACCATCTTAAGACTCTTCTGAATTGTATATCATACAGAATGTTCGAAATGGATATCTCATGAATGATACTTCCATTTTTAGTGATTCAAGTGAAAATCAATTTATGAGTGATAGCGCAACATTTTTAGATGTTTCAAATTGGCAACTGCTGAATATATTAACGCCAGTTTTCACGCCTGGAACGCTACTTTAGTAACACACAGAAAATGATTGTATTTTCTCTGGCATGCCACTCGATGCTCCTAGTGGTTGCATTTAGTATATAAAACTGCACTTGCATTTCGATTCTTTTATATCTAACTAAAACATCTCGTTGAGTGATTGCACTGGCAACTGGTAAAAACCATGCTAAATTCCCAAATCATATTGTCACGAACTATTCTGCGCAAGTGTGCGGAAGTTCCTGTTTTCTATGGTGTGAATATGAAATGCGTGAGAGTATGCCAAACAACATATTATGTATATTTACCCACACATGGGCATAAATAGATATCAGTGAAGGTTTTACCTACAAACAAAATAAGTTGTTGCTTCGGGTACCACTTCAATGTTGAGCCCAGCGATTTCGAAAAACAATCCACATAAAATTTATGTTTAATTATACAGTCGACTCCAGTTATACTGAACTTCTGGAAACTAACATTTTGGTTCACTATATCAGAGGTTCTCTCTATCCGATGACATCCAAATTAAAAAAAGAATTTCTTCACAATTATTGATTTTATTGACATAGAGATACAGCAATGTGCATCAACATCACGAACCTAAAATTAAAATACATTTATTTAACCTTCAAAAATCAATTATTTTCAATTGTTTGCTTCGTACATTTTACATTAGCAATATCTGTATTTGTGGCACTGTGGCGATATATTTTTTCCAGGAGGGACTTAATTTCCACGACGTTGTATTTCCTACGTTCACTATAGCTGAGGTTCAGAGTTCACTATAACTGAATATTCTTGTGCTTATTTGTAATTAGGGTGAAACGGGATCAGTGACATAAAGTCACTATATTCAGTTCAGTGTAACCAAAGTCGACTTTATATGCAATTCATTAATTTTCTCCGAACAACCCACAACATACTCTGGTATATATGCATATATTAATACATAAAGTAATTGTTAAAAATATCCCAAAGTGGGCTGTCTGTACTTTATACATCGTGAAAGAAAAAAACTTTTTGTGGCTCCAAGAAGTCGGTCATGACATTTTTTCACCGCCGACGGCTTCGCTGCTACACTGCCATTCCAAGGATTTTTTTTTGCGAGAACACAAACGTTTTTTTTCCTTTATTTATTTCCTCTTAAATTGTCTTTATTCTTAAATTTAATTTTCTCCTCATATGCAGTGGGAGTAAGTAAAAGTAGTGGAGCTACAGAATGGCAAAGACGTAACAGTGAATGAAATAACGGATGCACGAAACACTGATATTTATAATTACAACACTCGTTGTAGAAATCACGTTCATCAAGTGTCAGTATCAACAGCTAACTATCAGAAATCCACATACAATACATGTACGTTACTTTACGACGCATTTCCAGATGATATTAATCAATTGAAGTCGGTTCATAAATTTAAGTTAAAAGTAAAATATTTTCTGCTGCATAACTGTTTCTACACTATTAGATACTATACTGATGATCAAAAAGAAAAATAATGTTTATTTTAGCAGAACAGTGATATATAATGAATTGGTTTAAATTTGTTTTGTATATTTTTTTAAAAAAAGACTTAATATACTTGTAACAAATAATGTACTTCAGCTTTCGGGGTCAGATTTTTGATCAGTTTCCCTGATCCATTCAGCAAATTCTGATATGGCCCCTTGTTTTGCTTCTGGACGTAAATGTAGCTTCACTATGCGCACGTTTTGTTGAACTCTCTTTTGGCTTGTAATGTTAGGAGTAGAGGTAAGGGAGAGTAAATATTTTGTTAGCAATGCAGAAAAAATAATATCTATTCGATTACCGATGCAAATACGTTTTCTATAACTCGGGAACGAAAATTTCTAGTTTTTTTCAAATATTGCTAATTTCGCGCTTTGTAAATAAATCTAAATTCTGTACCTCCAAGGCCTTGAGTTCGTTCAGATCAATCGGGGGATATCAATTTGGGAGAAAATCGATTGAACGCTTTAGGCACTAGCGTTGACCACAGACAGGCAGCCAGACGTATGCTGTCAATCAATTTTTTCCCTGCCCCAACAAACATAGATTCGTGTTAGAGGTCGTAGTGTTCTATACCTAGCATCAGTATTTATCTACTTTTTCGTTACCAGGACCCGGCAATAAGAGTTTTTGTGCCTAAAATTCCCCATTTTCTGGCGCATGATTGCATAGCTTTCAGTTCTTATG